CTTCTGTCCTGAGAGCCAGGTATAGACTGGACAGAGATCTTTGGTCTGATGAGAATCAGCTTTAAGTTTATATATAGATGGCAACCAAAATAAATTCAAAATCTTAGACTTGTGACTGAGCAGTAAGTAGTCATTGTTCTACCAGCTTATCAGAACTCTATTAAATGCTAAACTCTGAACTTTTATATCATTGAAGGGGATGGTCTGTTCCTGGATGGTGCCTGGGTCATCTCAGTTTGTGGTCTCCCTCGGAACCAGGTATTGCCTTAGGGTAAACTACTGAGATTCAGGCCTCTCTTAAGCTTGTCATGGCTGGGTCCTGTATCTGCAAAAAGACCATTTGTATTATATGTCTGAAGAGAAAAGCAGAAACAAACATTTGGGAAGACTTATGAAATTTTATCTCGTTAAATGTGATATATCAATAGGCCAATTTACTCTTTTTCTTGGGACTTTTTTTTTTTTAAATGATTTGTCCTTTTTCTTCATGTTTCATTTGTCCAGTTACTTAGTTGGATGCCTTTATTCTCCTGAAAAGACAAAAGCAAAACCGTTCCTCAATTCTAAATCTGGGGTGTTGCTTTCATTGGTTAATGAATAGAAACTGCTTTGGGCCTGATAGGGCAGAACTTAGGTAGGTGGAGAAGACAGAACTGAATGCTGGGAAGAAGACATGGATCTTCTGCCTGAAATGGATGCTGGTTAGAATCTCTGGTAAGCCACTGGCACGTGGCGATACACAGATTAATGAGTTAAACTGATATGTAAGAGTTAGCCAATAAGAAGTTAGAGCTAATGGCCAAGCAGTGTTTTAATTAATACAGTTTTTGTGTGGTTATTTCAGGTGTAAGCTGTCCTGTCCTGTCCAGGCGGCCAGGACAGACAAGGGGCCCCCTCCTTCTGTAACATTGGGGAATTTCCCTTTAGATAAGTTATCTGATCAAATGGAAAGTACTTGTTAGTTTTAAAAGTTAATTTGGATTGAATAGTTACACTGTTTGGTGAACTATCTCCTTTTCTAATCAAGAGTTCTCGTTCAAATCTAACCTTTATCAATTTTGATTGATGGTTTCTCCTGAAATTTTTGTTTTATTTCCAGAGCAGTATGGTTTTTTATAATAGGCATTAGGTTCTTTAATAGCTCTGGGAAGAGTTTCCTCCACTGTGACAGGAAACAGCTGAACTAAATTTGACAAGATAGTCAACCAGAAGCCCCTCACAGCAGTTCCTGATGGCAAAGGGTTTCTTTAACTGCCCATTGTTGATCTATATTCATTAGTCTGATGCCTGCCCTTGCCACACCTTCTATATAATTCAGAAGGGAGATGTGTTCTGTTTGGATTATGCTTAGAAAAAAATCATTGTTTTTAGGAATGCCCTGTTTACATTCTCTTTTTAGGGACTGAAACACTTGACTTTTGATTTTTCAACTTTCGATTTTTTTTTTTCAAACCCTCTGGAAATCCCCTCTCCTATCCAAGCAGAGTTCACAGATATCTATGAGTTCAAGGCTATCCTGGGCTACACTCCAGTCTCAAAGAGAAACAGAGTCAGGTGGTGGCAGCTCAGGTCTTTAATTTTAGTATTTGGGAATCACACACCTTTAATCCTAGCACTAAGGAGGTGGAGACAGGAAGAGATATAGCTGAGCTTAGAGAGGAATAGAAGACAGAAGGAGACAGGAGCTCAACATGCAGTCTGAGGGTTCAGTGTAAGGATTTGTGGAAACAGGATCTTGCCCCATTCGGTCTGAAGAATCGGCAGAGGTCAAAAGTCTCTCTGTTGGCTGACTCCATTACTTCCTTGATCTTTCTGTATTTACCCCATATCTGACTCTGGTTTTTTATTATTAAGACCAATTAGAATTCGTGCCACAGTTCCCAGCATCCAGATGGTGGAAGTAAAAGCTGGCTCCCTGCAGGCTGTCCTCTCACCTTTACTTGCAAGCCGTGGCATGGGCACATATATACACTAAATTCTTTACAAACTAAAAAGTCTATGAATCGGGAAACTTTGGGAGCAGCTAGCTTTGTTCTTACCTCTCTAAAAACTGGTAGCTCAGTAGTTGTCATAGGTTATCATTTTACTTAATCAAAAAATATGTGAGTGCTTTGTATGTGTAGCTGTTTACTGCCTATCTGGTGGTTGTAAAGGCTGGAAGAGGGTGTTGGATCCCCTGGAACTGGGGGTTACAGTAGGTTGTGAGCCACCCTGTGAGTGCTAGGAGTTGATCTGGATCCCCTGGAGGAGCGCTGAGCTGTTGCTGGAGCCCCACAATTTTTTTTATTTTTTAGCTTTCTTATGTACATTGATGTTTTGCCTGTATATATGTGTGAGGGTGTTGGATGCCCTGGAACTAGAGTTACAGACAGTTGTGATCTGCTGTGTAGGTGCTGGGAATTAAACCCAGGTTAACAACCACTGAGCCATCTCTCCAGTCCCCTACGATTTTATTTTTTCTTGAACTTTTTATCATGTCATTTTTCAAGAGTACATTGATCAGGATCCCCTGCAGAATACATAGGAAGCCTCTAATCCCAGCTCTTGGGAGGCAGAGGCAGGCAGATCTCTGAATTCTAGGCCAACCTGGTCTACAAAAGCTAGTTCCAGGACAGCAAGGGCTGTTACACAGAGAAACCTTGTCTTGAAAAAGCAAAAAACAAATAAGCAGCAACAACAAAAACCCAGAATAAATAGGATTGGTATGTCTCTTAGTTTCTTTGAATTTATGTTACTTCCTACTTTTTCCCTGTAAACCCCATCATCATCATTTATGCCCTGGCAATGGTTAAGCCCATTTATGGTGGTTCTCCAGTTGTTCCTGTCCTAAGTAGTCCCAGATGCTGGTGTTATTGTCATACCCAAGGTTCCACAGTCTTCCTTTATGCTGTCTACCCAGCGTTTTTGGGCTTCCCTCTTCGCCTTATCCCGCACACTCCTCCAAGCAGTGCTATCTTTGGGCATCTGCCATCATTCATTGCCATAACATGGCCGAAGTATCTCAGTCGCCGTTGCCGTATCCTGTAGTTTACTTCCTTCTGTAGATGGAGATGTTTCTTAATGTCATGGTTGAGCAGCCTATCTCTTCGTGTGACGCCTAGAACCCTCCTGAGGCACACCATCTCAAACACATCCAGCCGCTGTTCTGAGGAGCGTCTCATTGTCCAGGTTTCAGAGTTGTAAAGAAGGCAGCTCAAGACAAGTGTCTTATATACTTGTAATTTTATTGTCGTTGAGAAATAATATGGTTCTATAGGCACCTAGAGAAAATCATAATACTAGAAAATGCCTATAGAGATACCTTTGCACCAGTCAAAGTCTGTGGTGAGCTAAGCGATCAGTTTAAGACAATTATAGGAGAGTTGCAGGGATCCGTCCTCTCACCACTACTCTTTAATCTATTCCTGAAATTAATAATAGCAACAGCCATGGAGGATGAGGAGATAGGTGTGCAGATGGATGGTGTGCAAACCAATAGCTTGTGTTTCACCAACGATACAGCACTACTTGCTGAAAGTCCAAATGAGCTGCAACCGTGGTAAATAGAGTGGCAGAAGTCAGTGAAAACCTTGTTATGAAAGTAAACATCGAGAAGACTGAGATACAACACATGGGAAGGGTGCACAAGTATTTTAACATTGTAATAAAGAACCAGAACCTCTAGCAAACAGTCAGCTTTGTCCGTCTGGGAGGAAACCTCAGTACAAAGGAGGGAACTATTTCAGATATCAGGAGGAGGATAAGGATAGCAAGGGCTGCATTTCAGACACCAGGAAAGGTTTGGTCAGCCAGAGACATTATCTCAAGTTTATTGAGGAAACTCTTACTTTGAATTTTGTGGACTGTATACCACAAAATTCACACATTGTAAGTGTATATAATATAGTGGTTTGTGTTTTCCTCTATGTGTGTGCATAGTGATTTTTAAAAAATGTTTTTCAAGACAGGGTTTCTCATGTAACAGCTCTAGCTGTCTTGGAACTTGCTCAGTAGACCAGGCTAGTCTAGAATTTACAGAGATCGGCCTGCCTCTGTCTCCTGAGTACTGGGACTAAAGGTGTGCACCACCACCCCAGGCTGTATAGTGATTGCTTTTTTTTTAAAGCAGGTTTGTAACGTTGTTTATTAGCTGGACTGAACTTATATTTTTATTTCTTGGGTTTGATTTTTACAAATTTAACTTGATTTAAAAATATGTATCATACTATGGACCTAGCATTTAGTTGTGGAAGATTTGTGTCATTCCAGAAATTTCCCTTGTTTTTTAAAAAATGAGATTATTTTTCATGTGTGTAGGTATTTTATCTGCAAGTATGTATATATGTGTACTGCATGTGTACTTGGTGCTGATGGAGGTCAAAGAGGGTATTGGGTCCCCTGGGACTGGGTATGGATGGTTGTGAGCTATCATGTGGGTGCTGGAAAACTGAACTGAGGTCCTCTGTAAGAGCAACAAGTATTCTTAATTACTGAGCCCTCTCTCCAGCCCCAACCCCATGTCCTTTTATAGTGACTTATGCTAAGGGTATGTAAAGTGCGTATTTATGCATACATTTTATGTGTATGAGCATATGTGCATGTCTTATAACTATATAAGCATTTAAAGACGTACCCATGAGTTCCTGTTTCATTGCTAATTTTTTTGTTGTTATTTTGAGGAAAGGTCCTTACACAGTAGCCTGGGCTGGCCTGGATATCTGCTAACTAACCAAATCGCCTACCATAGTCTCCAGAATACTTGATTATGTGTGAACCACCATGTCTGGTCTTATTGCCTATTTTTAATATGAATGAATAATGCTAGAAAGTTTTTGATGTTTGTACGTCTAAATGAACAGACTCAAGCTATCTGTCTTGACATAATGAAGCAGAAGTATAGAAGTCTCCTTACAATAAAATAGGGATGTTATATTTCAGTAGTTTTATTTTTAATTAATTAATTTTTTTGGAGTAAAAAAGAATGGCATTCATTCTAAGTGTGTTGTTCCATGTTTGTTAGAGGATGGCCTTCCCAGTAGATTTGCTGGATAACTGCACACATGAGGAACTGGAAAATTCTGCTGAGGACTATCTCTCCAACTTAAGGTGTGCAGACCCTGAAAATCCAGAGTGTTTTTCTATTCTCAATATTACGGTAAGACATTCTGCAGTGATTTTTTTTAAACTACCCTTTCAGTACAGTTTATGTACAAAATCAATATCTTTTAAAAAAATATTAGTGTAAAAATCATTCAATTTTGAAATATTTACCAGAAATCTACCAGTAAAATGTGCTATTAGTGATTAATCAATATTAACAAATTGAGTGGCAGATCAGGGTTTTGTGTGTGTAAAGTATGTGCATGTGTGTGCATACAGAGGTCAGAAGACTGGATGACTTCTACTGCTTATACTTTATTCCCTTGAGACAGGGTTTTTGACCAAATCTGAAGCTTGCCATTTCAATTAGACTTGCTAGCCAGTGAGCTTTTTCAGGATCCTTCTGTGCCCTATCCACCTCCGTGCCGTACACAAGGGGAACGGTATGTGGTTACTAGGTGAATGAGCGCAGGTGCTCTTGCTGAGGGAGCAAGTGCTTTTCCCACTGAGCCGCCTCCCAGCTGTCTGTCAGATTACTCAGGGTTTGTTTTTTGCCTTTCGTTTTAAAGGTAAGGCACTTACCACTTTGTTAAGACAGGACACCATGTCAAAGTAGGGTCACTTAAATTTATTTTAGATTTGGAATTTTGAATTTAGAAGTTCTTTTTAATTAAAAAGATCAAGAAGGCTCAAAATTACATTTTTGCATCATGAATCTTTTCTTGGAAAATTTTGTGATTTTGATCAAGAAGATGTGTTACTTTGAGACTTGGAGTCATTTAAATCCCACTATGAACTGAAATGGCTAGATTTCTTAATATCTCTAGGTCTCAGAACTTGCTTCTGGGAGTATTTAAGATCTAAATTTTTTTATTGTATGGGGAGGCATGTGTGGAATTAGAGGGCAGGTTTTAGTTCTTCCTGCCATGTGGGACTTGGTGATAAGACATAGAAGCAACTTCCTTTACCCACTGAGCCATCTCACTTGCCCTCATGTAGAATTTCTACAACTTCTCCAGCACCAGTATTTTTGTTTGTTTGTTTTTTGAGACAGTGTTTCTCTGTGTAACAGTTCCAGCTGTCCTGGAACTAGATCTTGTAGACCAGAATGGACTTGAAGTCACAGAGATCCCCCTGCCTCTGCCTCCTGAGTCCGAGTGCTGGGGTTAAAGGGGTGTACCACCACTGCCCGGCTGGCACCAGTATTTTTAATTCTTTAAATTGACTGACTTTGGAAAAGTAATGCTAGGTCATTGAAAACAGCTTTGTTCAAGTATTGTATGTATCTTGCTGCAGCATCAGTCTACTTAACTGTCCCTCTCATGAAATCTAGTGATAATAAACTGTAGTTGGTTTTTCAGTGACATTTGCTTTTACTCAGTAGCATGGCTGCCCTCTAGGAATGTTTATAGAAACAAATTTTTATTTTTTTTCCCACAAGAAAATTTTTGTAGAAGAGAAACCTCTTTTTCACTGTTGCTTGTTTGTTTTTATTCTCTTTAGGAGAGACTAGGAATGTTATCTTGTGTGCAATGAAGCTGTGTTATAGAATACACTTGAGAAAAATTTAAGTTCTGGCAAATCCTTTGGTATTTTTTGTTATGTATTTTTATTAAATTCTCCACTAATTGTGAACCATCTTTTATTTCAGATTCCTATTAGCCTGTCAAATGTGGGCTTTGTGCCTCTTTATGGTGGCAATCAGGCCCAGAAAATTCTTGCCCTCTTTGCACCTGAGGATTCACTCACAGGTCTCTTCTTTGCTTCATTTTTTAAATTGAGGATCTTGAATTCAAACTGTTAGGAATTTACTGAGAAACAACATAAAATCATTTGTTTAAAATTTTTTTTCAAATTTTAGTTTTAGAAAAGTGCAGTTCTTAATTGCTTGTAATGAAACATTTAATGAATGAAGTAAAATAAAAGTAAGTGTAAATTGTGAGTCCAGGATCTGGGAGGAGAGGGTGTAGCTGAGTGGTAGAGAGAGCATTTACCTGGACTTGAGGGGTATTGGATCTGGTTCTCAATATGGCAGAAAAGAAAAGCAAGCAAGAATGGGTGTATTTTAGGTGTATATGTAATCCTTAGCAGGTAGCAATATTGTCTTTTTGACCCTTAAGACTTAAATGTTAATGGTCATTTTTCTGTTTTAGCTGTGGCACTTTACCTTGTTGACCAGTGGTGGGCCATTGATGATATTGTGAGAACATCTGAACCTTCTAGAGAGGGGTTAAAGCAGGTAATCAGTTCATGTCCTTCAGTGAATCCTATAAAGTGATAGTCTTAAAAGTTGTTGAAATTTCCCTCATTTTCATATAACCAAGTAGCACTGAACTGGGGTTTCTTATGGTGAAACGGGAACCTTGTTTATATGATCCTTCCTTTTCTGAGAAGTGGGTGAGAAGAATGAGCCCCTGGGCTAGCTACTGAGGCTGCCGGCCTGGCCTCCCTCTCCTTAAGCTTCTGACCCTCTGTTTGGAGGGGGAGAACCTAGGGTTGGGTGGTTGCAGGAGAAGCTCTCCAATTGGAGAACTAAGGCCGTCAGAGTTCTCTACCTCGCATAGGCTGTGTTGCAGTTCCTGATAGCATTTCTTACTCTGAGTTTGGAACTCTGAGAGACACATCCAACTCAAAGGGGGTTCATCCTTCTGCATATTCTATTTATTCATAAAAAGAAGTTTTAGGAGAGTAATATACCAAACATTATTCCTTCTGGATATTATATTTATACTTGAATATGCCTTTAGATTGCAGAGTAAGAAGTCCATCTCACAGAAACTGGGAGAATGCACATCTGGATATCTGCCAGTCTTTGTAGTACAGCCTAGTCTTGAACTACTATAGATGAAGAAGGACGTTTAAGCATGTATGAAGTCATAAAATAGATGTAGGGAGCCGTTCAAGGGGATAACTTGTCTGCTCTGACAGTGAAAGTGTACATAAGGAAAGTAAATATCCCATGGACTTGAACTATAACTGAGGTATGGCCGACATCCAGAGGAGGGCTAAAGGATAGAGGAGGACAGGACAAGTAGATGTCTCTTCTCTCCTCCATGTGTGGGCTCGGAAAGGAGGATGGCGTCAGCTCAATGTCTGTCCGTCTGACAGTGTCACCTCTGAGAAGTGAGAAGTCAGTAGGGGTCGGGCAGGAAGACCAGGTGGTCTATCAGATTCTGGCTAGCAAGGAAAAATAGTAAAATCTCAGGAGGAAATAGCTTGTTTATAAACATATGATCTTGAGCTAGGAACATTATTGTTACAGACCTTTTCCCTATTTTATTTGTTGTGGTAAAATTAAATCGATATGATAAAGATTATAGCCCTGTGTCTCAAAGTTAGGTTTAGTTATATGGGCGGAGGTCCCCAGGCTCATGCTGCAAGACTTTCCCCCTTTTCTGTCCTGGTCATCACACTATCAGTTCCCTGGAGCTCATGGATGGCATACTTACCATTTTCTATGTGCTGAATGAAGAAACTAATCTCTGAAAAGCAGAATCCAGAAATAAAGATGGAACCTAGGTACATTAGCCGTTTTTCTGTGATAAATACCCTGACCAAGGCAGTTTATGGAAGGAAGAGTTTATTTGGGCGTACAGGTCCATCATGACAGGGATGCATGACAGCAAGCATGCGTGGTGCCGGGGGGGGGGGGGGGGGAGAAGACTGAGAAAACACACTCTGAACTGCAAGCACCAAAGCAGAGAACGACTGACTGGGAGTAGGACAAGGCTACATTATCTCAAAGTCCATCACCAGTGACACCCTTTCCCAGCAAGGCTGCACCACATAAATTCTCCCAAACAGCTCCAACAAACTGGGATCCAAGTGTTTAAATACCTGAGCCTATGGGGACATTTCCCATTCAAAGCACCACACTGAGGATGTATCTCAGTTGGTAGAAGACTTGCCTAGTATACACAAAGCTCTGGGTTTGATTCCCAGCATTGCATAAACTGGGTGTGGTGCCATGTCTATACATCCCAGCGCCTGGGAGGTGGAACACAGGAGGATTAGGAATTCAAGTAAGTTCAGCATCACCCTTGACTTCATTGAGACAGTCTCTCAATGTAAGGACAAATAAATTTAAATAGGAATATATGTAAAGTAATATGTAAATGTGTGTGTTGGTGTGGAAGAATTGTCTGTATTCTGTCAATCTGTTTATTTTAAATAAACACTGATTGGCCAGGCAGGAAGTTAGACGGATCAACCAGACAGGAAGTAGAGGTGGGTCGATGAAAACAGGAAAATGCTAGGAAGGAGAAAGCCCATTCTTCCCATTCCTGCCCAGACTACCGAGAAGCAAGATGTAACCTGCCCAGCTGAGAAAGGTACCGAGCCATGTGGCTAACATAATTAAAAATAATGGGATAATACATGTTATAAGAACTAATACAAAGCCTGAGCTAATGGGCCAATCAGTTTTATAACTTACGGAGATTTCTGTGTGATTTTCTTTGGGACTTGCTGGCCTGGGGAACTGGGCAGAACATAAACCCCAACAAGCAAGCCCGGCCCTAATGTTACTGTGTGTATTTCAGAAAGATTAGTTGTACATGTACACACTATCCTCTAAAGCAACATGTGTGAGAAAAATTTGGCTTTAAATAAATAGAAGTAAAATGAAGCTAAGAAGCGTTGATAGCAAGTTCACATTAATTTCAGAATATCCTCAATGTATAACACTGTATGCCAAGTGTGCACAGAGATACTAGAGGATCTGAAGCACTCCTAAGGGAGAGGACAGGGATTCCAAAGTAACTCTCAACTGGCTTTACTCTATTTCTTCAGTACTTAAGGTTGTATTGGTATAAAATTCAGAAGAATATCATAGCTATCTCCAAATGATGGTACTCTGTGTAGCTGCATATTATCAAAGAATAGCCATTGCAAAGTGGATTTCAGCTCAGTGTGAGGGAGTTTTATATTGGTTATTGCAACATAAGGAAGTGGCCTTGTCATTTAGAGATTGACTGTTCTGTCATTTCTTGTATTGTTTGGCTTGGAGAACCCCTGCCAGGAGTATTTATTTTTGAAGTGTGTGCATGTAGCAATAGTTTCTTTTTCTGCACAAATGATCAGGACAAAGTTGTTTTCCTTTAAGGTAATGATTAGAGAATGTGGGTTGCGATCCGTTTGGGGGTCAAATGACCTTTTCACAGGGGCTGTGTGTTGGATATTTATATTATGATTCATAACAGTAACAAAATTACAGTAATGAAGTAGTAACAAAATAATTTTTTGATTGGGAGTTACCACAACATGAGGAACTGTGTTAAAGGGTCACAGCATCATGAAGGTTGAGAACCACTGCTTAAGGGGATTTGGAAGAAAGTAGACTTTATAAACTGAAGTCTTGTTTTTGCATTAGAAATATCTGTGGGAAAGCTGACTTTAATAACAGAAGGCTGGGGTAACCGTGCAGTGCCTGTGATGGTGTGGCTCTGAGTGAGAGCTGGGCCCCTGTTTTCATGCTGTGCCCAAGTGTGTTTCCCTAGACTTCCCTGCCGTCACCGTATTTGCTCATCTGCTCTAGCAAAGGGGTGTGTGGGTGGGAAGGCTGGGTATCCTTATAGCAAGGATAGGGCTATCTAAGGAACATTTCACCTGAAAAAGGAAAGATGCCTTTCTCAAGGGCATAGTTAGGACTGTCTTCATGAAATGAGGTAATTGTTCTGCAGCTCTCTTGGGAATAGTATAGGCTTTTAAAAATATTTATTTTAGTATAGGGGCGGGGATGGGGTGAAATAGGATTGAAGCAGAGTATGTAGTGGGGTACAGTAGTTAGGGCCACAGACACTCTTGGATCTGGGCAGCTAGAATCATGAAGACACTGCACTGAGTGAGATGATAGACAGTGTGTGCCTTGGGCCCTGTTTTGCCCATTTTAGAATTTGCTACAAGACATTATCCGTGCACACAATGTGTTTGTGGGAATGGACTGTTCTTGTTAGTGATTCTATGCTAATAGAATGTTTATGATGATAGAATGTTTCAAATTGTGTTGACTGTCCTGGAAGTGCTCTGATGACATAGGAGCTGTGGGAGCTGGGAACAAGGTGACTGGTGTCTCCTAATGGCTGCATATTGTAACTGCTGTGCCTGCTGTCTGACTCTCTTTGTAGGTGAGCACTCTTGGAGAAAGAGTGGTTCTGTATGTTCTCAATCGAGTTATTTATAGAAAGCAGGAAATGGAGAGAAATGAGATCCCATTCCTGTGCCATAGCAGTACTGACTATGCTAAGATTCTGTGGAAGAAAGGAGAGGCTGTTGGGTTTTACTCAGTTAAGCCTACAGGTGAGTTTTACAAGTTACTTAAACTGTTTTACAGAAATCTCCATTTTGATCCTCAACTGTGTCGGTGACTTAACCGCTGGAGTGCAAGTTGAGATGCTTGCACTTAGGATTTCTTCTGAGTGTCACAGTTCTACTGTCCACGAGAGTACAGACTAGACCTTAGACCCAGAAGATTAGCACAGAAGAGAGAAGGTTGTCATTTCACCGTATTCTTTGTAGCCATGTGTTTATTTAAAGGTTACTGTTTTGATTTCTGCTTCTCTTCCTATTACTTATTAAACCTGCTTGCCGCTTTGCCATTTCTATTTAGAATGCTTAAAATAAATACAGATTTGGTTTTTCAGGTTTTTTTTGGGGGGGAGTGGTCTTATTCCTACTCTGTAACTCAGTTACTCTGACTATGCTCTTCCATGCTTGTGTGTCTTGGAGCTCCCTTCTCTTCTGGGATCTGGCTTTTGCTCTTGCTATTCTGGTAGTCAGCTCCATTTTATTTTATATCCTAGAGCTGTGAGGTGCTGCTGCTGCTAATGTCAGCCTTCTCTTCCTTTTAAGCTCCATCTCCCTCTGCTGGCTAGCAGTGGAATTAAGGATGTGTATGCCAGCCTTTAGATCAGGAAGTAATTATTTCAAGGGAGTGCCTTTTCTTTAAAGGAAACTGACGTGTAACTGAAATTATTTTTGAGAAATTGTCCCAAAGAAAGCCTAAAGCACTCTTGCTTTCTTTCACGCTTTCTTTTTTTGCTTTTGGTTTTGGTTTTTCCGAGACAGGGTTTCTCTTGTAGACCAGGCTGGCCTCGAACTAACAAAGATCCACCTGCCTCTGTCTCCCAAGTGCTGGGATTAAAGGTGTGTGCCACCAATGCCCAGCTCTTTCTTGCTTTCTTTCCCTTTTCACATATACAGTAGGCAAATGATACGCCTGTAGCTATAAGATAAAATCTTTTTAAAAATATTTGTGCGTGCATGCACATGAAGGTCAGACAATTTGTGGGAGTCAGTTCTCACATTTCACCCTGTGGGTCTTAGGGATACACTCAAGTTGGGCTTGGCAGCAAGCACCTTTGCCTTCTGGGCCACCTCACTGGACTCTAAAGTCTTTACTATAAATTCATAGTTAAATGAAGTCTTTTGAAGACATTTAGTACTTAGTTGCTATTAGCAAGTTGTTTGATGGGGTGTAAGTCAGGACTGACAGTGTCTTTGGTGGAAGGTAAAGGAACTTGTTCTGAGGTCTGAGTCGTTGCAACATAGTGATGACATCCCAGAAACTAGAAATTATTTTTTGCTTCAAATAAAGAGATTATTGTGAGGGATTTTGTTTTCCAGGTTGAGTAATTTTATTGTGAGGGTGTTTTCAGGGTTTTGTTTTGTTTTGTCTGTTTATTTATCATTTTTTCAAGACAGGGTTTCTCTGTGTAGCCCTGGCTGTCCTGGAACTTGCTCTGTAGACCTGGTTGACCTCAAACTCAGAGATCTGCCTGCCTCTGCCTTCAAAGTGCTGGGATTAAAGGCGAGCGCCACCACTGCTGCCAGGCTTTGCTTTGTTATTTTAATGATTATTTTAATGAAACGATTGCATTAATTTTAAAGTTTTATTCTCATTTTGTTGTTGAAGGAGGGCTTTTATTTAACCATGCTATTGAAGTATATCTATTTCTGCTCTATATTAACACTAAAATTATGTTCTATAATTCTAATTATTGGAAGACTTATTTCCCAGTAACAGCAGTTTATATATTTAATCCTTATATTTATTAGTAAATAATGTGAACAATAATGATAAATACCTCAGGGCATACATGTCATCAGTGTGGTGAATGGTCTAGCATGCTGAATTACTTTAAGAATTTTCACTTATACCATATTTCACTTTTATTCATAAATTAATATTTTGGTCTTAATCTGTTATTTAGTCAGCTTCTTAAATATAATTCAAATTATATCTGCAAGTAATGGTCTTTTGTAGATTTGCATTTCCAAACTAGGAGTTTAATTTAGAGTTAAATAAAAGCAATAAGAAATACTTAGAAAAAAAAGAAAAATATTACTTTCTAAGACTAGAAGCCATTTTTAAGTTAGAAAAACCCATTTTCATATTTACTCTATTCAAAAGATTCAGAAAAATAAAGTCCATTTTTATTTAAATATTGGTATCAACATTTGAGTGGAAACAGGAAAATAAATATTTAAAAGTGGAAAATAGACTAAAAGAAATAAGGATAATTGTCTGTTGTGTATCTTTAGATCTTTACTGTTTCAAGTCTAAATATATTTGGAAACTATCTAGCATATAGTTTGTTCCCCTAGTTCCTTTACTAGAAGAATTTGTCTAGGTAGTAAGACGAATGTGGTTTGGTAGAAAAGATTGCACTGATTTCATCCTTTGTGACTGTGTAGTTGCCTCAGCAGCTCGTTGCAGGTGGTTGTAATCTTAGTATACAGTAGACCGGGAATACATACATCAAAGGAAAAACTAGGTTAGTTTTTATCAGTTTTGTGACACAACTAAATTAGAATTATAGTATTAAAAAACCAATCAGTTTACTATGAGATCTCCTAAAGTTGAGTGTTTTGTTAAGAAAGACAAGCATCCTCAAATTATTTCAGTTATTTTTAAGGTGAAAAATTTTGTGAGGATTCATACATTGCTGAAAATACTTCACTTCAGAAACCCAGCAAATATCCAGCCCAAAAAGCTGTTGCCTTGTGTCTCTCTTAGATGCCCACAAAGTTGCATCACCTTTTCTTTTTTCCTTTCTTTTTTTCTTTTCTTTAAAAAAAAAAAAAAAGACAGGGATTCTCTATGTAGCTCTAGTTGTCCTGGAACTCACTCTATAGACCAGCCTTGCCTCAAATTCAGAGATCCTCCTGCCTCTGCCTTAACTGGGGTTAAAAGCGTGCACCACCACTCCCAGCCCTAATCACTTTTTAAAAGGTTTCACCTGTTCCTAACCCTGAGCCTCAGACAGTCTATGTAGCTCTGTTTGGCCTGGAACTCACTATATAGACCCGGCAGGCCTCAAATTCCCAGAGATCCTCCTGCCTCTTTCTCCTGAGTGCTGGGGTTAAAACATGCATTGTCACACCTGGGTTAGTACTAATTCTTACTATTTTATAACGGGGAGTAAATTTCAGTGTGGATTTCAGAGAAAGCCCATTCTCTCACCATCTCATCCTTGTGTAACGCTCTCATATCTGTTTTAGAAAAGGGTAGATGTGTAGTGATCGGATTCTGAGATGCTAAGAATTTACATTGCAGAACCTTTGAAACCTTTCTGAAACTAGAGGTCATTAGTAAACTGGAATTTAAATAAAGTCAGTTTAGCAAATCCTATGTATCACACATGTATTTCTGGTTTTGATAATACTCTGGCTATATAAAATGTTGTTATTGGGCAAAGCTTGGGAAGGGGTACATAGGAGTGTAACACAAATTCTAAGTGTTCTTTATAATGAAAACTCGGGGTCAACTATCAGGGGATGAAAGTTGAAGAATCCGAGAAGCAGAGCGGCAGCCACTAGAGTTCTTACCTCTACCAGTGCTCAGTCCAAAGGGGCGATCCTGTCCTCAGACTGCAGGGAGCTCCTGTCTCCTGCGGTATAGTCCTCTCTCCACCCAGCCTATCACTCCTGTTCCCACCTCCTTAGTGTTGGGATCACCTTTGTGTGAGCTCTCTTTCCTTTTTGGACTGGATCAATTTCATATAGCCCAGGGTGGCCTTGAGCTAACTCTGTCTCCGAGTCCTGGGATTAAAGGTGTGTGCCACCACTGCCTGACTTCTAGTGGCTTAGCTGTACACTCTGATCTTCAGGCAAGCTTTAGTTGTTAAAACACAAACAATATCACTACATGGGAGCTCTTCATAATGGTTTTGAAGCTCTTTTAAATGAATTTTATTTTTGTTATTATGGGGGCAGGTCATGGGCCTGCCATGGAGTACATACTGAGGTCAGAGGATGATTTAACTGGGGTCAATTCTTTCCTTACACTTTACAATGGTTCCAGGATCAAACTCTGGTTATTGGGCTTATACTATAAGCATTTGATCTACTGAGCTGTCTCACCAGCCCAGCTTTTAATTTTAAAAATTCAATATTGACAGAATATCAGGAATTAAGTAATTTGTGAAGCTAAAGAAGAAAAATTTAAATACCATGAAGATATGTGAAAATATGTTATTTCAAGATAATTTTAATGGTTAATAAGCAAAAATAATGTTTTGGAATTTGACTAAGTCAAGAAGAGGTGGGAGACTAAAAATAAATATTTATTCTGCTACTGCAGTGACCCTTTGTCAGAAAGCCTGCCATGCATAGAGACAGAGACAAACAGCAGCTGCACCTGCAGCCAAGGCCTCCACCACGCCTTTACCAGATGCAGCCTCTTTACTTTGAACTTTCCAGACTCTAAAATATTGAGAAATACAATTTTTTTTCTTTATTTATATCCCAGTCTCGACCAGGCATGGTGACATACATCTTAAATCCCCGCATTTGGGAGACAGAGGTATGGGTATCCCTGAATTTGAGGTCAGCCTGGTCTACATAGTGAGTTCCAGGATAGACAGGACTATACAGAAAAACCCTGTCTCTAAAACCCCCAAACCAAAACCAACCAAACCAAACAAAAAACCCCCACTCTTAGGGATTCTGTTTTAGCAACATGAATGTACTAAGTCAGAAACCTAGAAGAAACACGGTGGTTGTGCACAGGACAGAAGGCAGAGGTAAATTTAAATCAGGGCAACTTTGTCATGGAGCATGTGTTTTCTCTAACTGAGTTTCCTCTTGGGGATTTCTATCACAAAAAAACTTCATTATATTCCAGACTGACCTCTAATTTACTGTGACGCTCAAGCTGACTTTGAATTTCTGGCACTCTGTTGTTAGGGAACTTATCTTTGAAAATGAGATGTGTTCTTTGGGGCATGTCTAGCTATCCAGAAAAAAATGGCTCTATTTATTGGGGATGTAGGGGTGACTCAGTGCAAGCAAACATGGTTTTATCCCTTAAAACAGCCAAAATCTAGTGAATGAAAAATAAACCCTACCAAAACAAAAAGCTATAGTCAGTAGACACCTAATCATTCATGGTAATGAGTGATGTATTTAATGTATTGGCAAGAGTAGTTGGTGTAGACTAAGCACTTAATTCTGCCTAGAAGAAAAATATTTGGAAGTGTCCCTGGAGGGTCAGTAGGGTTATCAGAAGTTAGAGATGTAGGGAAGGGAAAAACCATGCTAGTAATCACACGCATGGGATCTAAGTATGTAAAGGAGAGTTGCAAATGTTTAAGGCATGTTGAAATAAGCTTGTGGGACTAAAACATTTTGAAGAATAAAGATAAGAATCTTACTACAGAACAAAGCACCAAAAAGTTGGAGGAGTGAAGGTGAAGATTACATTGGTTAGTGTCGTAAAGGCCATGTTAAGACAGGTGGCATTTTATTGTCTGCAGCACATTAAGGACATGGTTTTTATAGCACTTGACTGGTAAGTAGGAAAGTTATCTTTTGAAGTAAAGAAGTCCTTAATAGATCTTTGGTAGTTTGGATGATAGAAGGGCCCGGTGAGGACTATAGTGGTAGAGACGAAGAAGAAAACGGAATGGAGGCTTCCAGTACAGAGGGCAGTGAACTCACGTTGCCGGAGATGGGGGTCTGAGTTTCTGCTATCTGAAGATGAGCAGTATTCTTTTGTAAGTCAGTAAAATTTAGTCTGGCTTGTTAGACAGTGTCAAGTAACTTGAAATACCCTCTGGATGACTGTGAGAAGTATTACTCAAGCCAAAACTAGACCCTTACTAAGGTTTTCTGGGTTGGTTTCTTTAGAATAGCTAATACTTAACTGACTTACAAAGCATAAAAAGTGAGCACCCAATTTGTTTGGCATTCATATCACACAGCGTGGGAAAGCTGTTCCCACACAGACCTTGTATGAGATGCTCACTGTGGTTTTAGGACGGTGGAGGAATACCCTCCTGGAAGACAGAGGGGTCCTGAGAAGAGGACGCTGCTCACTGTGGCAGAATAGGTCTGATTTCTGTGTTTAGATCTTGAAATCGTTGTTAGAGTGCATTTATTCATGTTATTTTTAGTAGCCATACAAATGAGGAAAAGGGGAGGAAAGAGTAGGGAGAAAGAATAAGAGGGACAAATTGAGAATAATAAAAATGTAAGCTCCATCCTTGAGGAACTTAGATTTTAGGGGAAGAGAGGGGAAAGAACAGCCGAGAGAGAGTATGGGAAGGACTGTTTTATTTATTTATTTTACTTTATTTTTATTTTACATTCCATCCACAATTCTCCCCTACCCCACCCCGCCACCCCGGGAGGTGCTGTTTTAAATAGAAAGGTTAGGAGAAGCTTTTCTGAATGAACTGATGGAGGAACAGGAAGTGTGAAGTGTGTGAAGAGACTCAGGCGGAAGCTGAAAATGGAGACACAGATCTGAATGCTTCAGAAATTGCAGGTAGCTACCATGCCTGGTTTATAGAGAGGGAGTGATAGAATTTGGAGAGCATAGAGGATGTATCTTAAAAGGTCTCTAGGCCAAAGAAAAAGTTAATTCTGCACTATGGTGAAGGGAAGCAGTGAAGATTTCAGGATGGCATGGCACCCGACAGCCTCTGTGGGAATCCAGGTACACGGTGCCCAGAGTGGGCAGGTGTTCTGTTTAGTCATGCTCTAGTTTATATGTATAAATGTTTTGCTTTCATGTATGTATGTGTACCATGTTTATGCTTGGTACGCACACAGGTCAGAAGAGGGAGTCAGATCCAACGGAACTAGAGTTCTGAATGGTTATGAACCACCATGTGCGTGCTGCGAACTGAACCCAGCTCCCTTGCAGGAACCACTGGTCCATCTCTGTAGCCCCATAATTTTTGTTTTGAATGAGTGAGTTTATTAAATACATAGCAAACTGCAGTAAGAATAGATAATAGTAAGTTGTAGTAGGTCACAAAACATTATTAAATAACGTACTTAAAATATCCAGTAGAAATCAATTGAGAAAGCCCCATTGAGGTTGGTAACTAGAGTGTATCTTTACATAGTGTCCCATGTTATCTCCCACCCCCCTTGAGGGTTCTAAGTAAAAGAACAAATAGGTGATGTCATTAAATCCACCAGAAACCCAATGGGGAAGCCTCATTAAGGCAGCCAGCTGGAGTTCCTGATCAGGAGAGTCACTGGCAGAGCAGTCTCCCCAGTAAGGCTGCCAGCAGATAGTGATGACATCATCAAAGCTGGTGCTCGTAATAACCAGCTGAGACAGTCAGCTGGAATTCCCTGTTGAGATTTCTCTCCAGGGATGTGCGTCTCATAGGTGCATAGGTGAACTTCCAACTTCTCATTCACTTTTAAATCATGGGATAAACAACAGTAACATTTGTTGGAAATAGTTTACCTTTTTTTTTTTTTTAAAGCTGTAGTTAAGAACATAATATTTTTACCCTTGGGCTATTTTGTTCTCTTCCCTCCCTGTCACAAAGTGTCTTGCTTTTTGTTCTGTTTTGTTTTTCTATTTGTTTGTGTTTGGGGGCAGGGTACATCTCCAGACTAGGCCCTAGAGGATCCTTTGTGACAGACTTGTTTAGATGTGAAATGGAAAGGGACTGGGGACATCTCTACCCAGAGCCAGCTTCTAAGTGAGCAGAAACAGCTCATGACAACTTACCAATAGAATGCATGTAAGTAGAGTTGACAATTTAGTGAAGAGGCTACTTTGGAAGGCCTGTTAAGCAATGCTGTACCCTGGGCAAAGGCCACAGGTATTGTTACTGCTGCAGGATTTCTGATTGTTGCCGTGGGCTGGTGTAGGAAGACCAGGGTGAGTAACTGGACCCAAGGAGGTGAGACTTACTGAGAAAGTGAGAAAATGGGTAAACTTGAAGGAATGTGTTTTTAGACTGTCCTGACAGAATTTTGTTATAAATGGTATACATCAAATACTTAAATTGCTATTTGTATTTTAAACAACATTTTTGTATATTTGCATACCACATAATTTACCTGTTTCAGATATATGATATCTCACCACTTTTAGATAATTTTTATTACTGCAAAAGACAGAACTGTGTACAATAGGAGTCACTCCCATTTCCAGGCTTTGGCAACCATTAATTAATCTAGATCATACATCATGTGACTGGTATCTAGCTTTTCTTTTCTTTTTTTCTTTTTTTTGGGGGGGGGTTAACAGTTTGTTTACTAGTCTCATATATATTGTAGTGTGTATTAATACTTCTTTAAAAATGTATTTATTCAGTGTATCTGTATTGTTTTGTTTGCACATCATGTGTATGTTTTGTGTTCTCAGAAGAGGAAGGCACTGAATCCCCAGAACTGGAGTTGTGGATGTTTGTTAGCCGTCATGTGGGTGCGGGAACCAACGCTTCATTTTTTTTTTTTTTTATGACCAAATAGCATTTTCTTGTGTAGTGTTGTTCTAGTCTGGCTTGCTGGTTGCTGTGACCACATACTTGAGCAAAAGAACCTGAAGGGAGATTTGTTTTGGGCTCATGGTTTTAGCAGTTTCAGTCCATGGTAGTGCAGGGAGAAGGTTAAGGTTATGTTTAAAGATAGCAGTAGTGTTGTGTGCATATAATCATAGTCAAGTATGTCTATCATAAAATGGAATGAGCTGTTTGTTCTATATTCCTTAACCACTGGCCAATACAAAATAAGAATTATTCTTATTATCACGTGTATACAATTAGAGTATATGACGAAAGTTGTAATATACTTTATATTATAGAATATATGCAGTTCTTTGTACTTCTTAACATAAGGGGAAAAACTATTCAGAAACATTAGTTCATTTACTAAATGTACATGTAGTTTAATGTGTAAAATTCTTTGGTTTCTCTTACTCCTGCAGGAAGCTTATGTGCCTCATTTCTTACTCAGAGTTACCAACTGCCAGTTCTTGATACAATGTTTATAAGAAAGAAATACAGAGGAAAAGATCTGGGGCTTCATATGCTGGAGGACTTTGTTGACTCCTTTACAGAAGAAGCCCTTGGCTTGCGGTACCCTCTGTCTTCTCTCATGTACACAGGTGAGTGGACCAAGCTAAAACTTGTCACCTGAAACTTGTTTCTCCAGACATTGCAAATGTAGAGATACCAGTTTAAATGAGATTAGAACTTTTTGCTTTCTAGGGCTTAACTTTGTAATGTAATTTTATTCTGTGGTATCTAGTTGTAACATGGCACGTGATAACCTTTTCAATGTCTGAAGTCCGAGTTGCAGTGTATAGGCTTTGGCCTTGAAATGGTGACCTTCTTGCCTTAACCTCTGAGTTCTGAAATGCCGTGCCAAGGAAGGTATAACATTTTTTGCAAGACTTTTTCCCCCCAAAACTTGTTTATTTTCAGGTGAAAAGTTTTTGTGCCTTTCTTACTATACTTAACTGTATTTTTCAGATTTTCCTTCATTTTTAAACCCTCTTGTAGGGGCTGGGCTCAGAGGTTAAGACACTGCCTGCTCTTCCAGAGGCATGGTGACTCACCACCTTTTGTAAAGAGATCTGGCGCATTTGTAAAGAGATCAGGCATTCATGCAGATGCAGACAGAACACTGTATACATAACAAATAAATATTTTTTAAAAAATCCTTCTGTAGTTTTCATCTCTCTCAGGGTGACCCTTTAGAGATATATGTCTTACTTAGGTTGTCTGCCACTCCACCCCTACCCCCACTGATAACCAAAACTCCAAATGACCTCTCCTTTTCAGAGTTCTCTGTAAATGCCATGGCAGCAGAGTAACAATCCAGGGCAAGAAGGAAATCCAGTTTAACATGACTAATTAGTCAGTGTTGATTCAAGCTTCCTGAGTCTGACACTGGTGGTTTATGTTAAGCATATTTAAATTTCCTGGTGTAACACAAGCCCATGTCCACAATAAAGCTAAAGGCATGATAACATCAAAATTCTTTTCAAAGTACTTCTTGCATGAAGATAGGCTACATGTGTTACCTTAAGGGCCTGGGGTAGGATCTAGTGTGGCAAGTGCTCTTAACAGTCATGTAGATAGTGCAGAGGTCACCCAGGCTATTAACCATTTCTGGCCCTATATGTGGGAGCCTGGGAGAGCCAGAGATAGCCTGACCCTACGGATAGCACAGAGGTGGATGTTAACCCACCTTTGTTTCCAGCCTTCTGGTCAGAAAACAAGTTATATATTTCTTCCTTTGAATAGATGACCCTGCGTGTTCAACATTCCTGGCTTCCCTAGTGCTTATCTATGAGAGCAAGAAACTCTGTACCCCTACACCTAGTTATTAGAGACAGGCCATTCTACTTGTATATTTACACTAACTCATAGTCTCTCTTTACAATGGGATAGGTGTTGGAGAGAGGCTTTTCATAAGGTTCTGACCTACCACCTCTACTCCTCCTCTTTAACAAACCTTTAGGATGCATCCTTTAGGATGCATGCGTGCATGCCTGTATGCTTGAGTGCTTTTGTGCATGTGTGCCTGTCTGTTTGCCAGCCAGGCCACGTGTGTGCTAGTGCCTGTGGATGCCAGAAATTACACTGGATCTCCTAGAGCACAGGAGTTATAGGCAAGGGATCTAAGCTCAGCTTCACTGGAAGAGTAGCAATTTATTTATTTGTTTGTTTGTTTATTTTTGTTTTTTGACAGTGGAACCATCTCCCTAGCTCCTCTTTTCAAGTTTTGTATCAGTATTATATGATGTTTATTATAGGAAGTTTTCATCCTTTTGGTTAAACTTATTCCTGGGTATTTTAAGGCTCTTGTAAATGAGATTGTTTTCCTGATTTCTGTTTCTAATAATTTGACATTAGTGGGTCTGGGGACATGGCTCATTGAGTAAGAACACTTGCTCTGAAGGCAAAAGAACATGAATTCAGATTCCCAGCACCCATGGAAAAGTTGGGCATGGCCATAAGTGCCTGTAACCCTAGCATTTGAGGGTTAAAGGTGGATGGGTTATTTTGAGCTTGCTGGCCAACCATCTTTACTAAAACTGTGTGCTTTAGGTTCAGTAAGAAACCCCATCCCAGATAATAAACAGAGAGTAATAGAGGAAAATAGAAATATCTTCTGGACTTCTGCATGAATAGGTACATGCATGTGCATGTACTTCACACATTCCACACTACACGTGCACCATCTAAGAGTAAACATAAACATAAATAAGTATCCTATTTTGATGGTTCAGTAGTTGAGAGCATTAGCTGCTCTTCCAGAAGACTTGTGTTTGGTTCCCAGCACTCACGTGGTGGCCCACAGCCATCTATAACTTCAGTCCTGCAGGATCCTATTCTCTCTTCTGGCCTCCGTGGGCAGCAATTATGCAAGTGGTGCAGACATACATGCAGGCAAATGCCCATACACATAAAAAGAACTATCAAAAAAAAATATTGCCATTTCTGTATAGCAGCACTATGGTTTTTATATGTTGATTTTGTGTTCTACAAGTTTACTGTGTTTTGAACATAGATTTGAACAAGACACGTGTTACTGAAAAATTAGAAATATTCTTTTACAGATTCTTAGTCCTTGATTAAAAAAAAATTAAAAACAGATTCAGAAGGAAGCTTAAGAATCAAAGGAGATTTGATTCTTAATTTGAGAGATAAACCACAGGATTTCCATGCTATAAGTCTCAGCAGGTGCTAGGAGGAGAGAGACAGAGAGAAGGAAGAGTGAAAGTCGAGCCGTGTGAGTCAGGGTCAGCAATGGAGATGTGCGAGGGCCGAGGGTGTACAGAAAAAATAGTGAGAAATCCCAGAACATCAGAGAGTGTTTGGGATTCATGGTCAACATCCCAAGAATAGACCACAAGGGGCTAAAAGGAAGGTAGACACTTGGGTTTCAGCTTAGAAAAGTGGCAGGTTTAGCAGTGGATATTTATGAGCAACTGCCACTAGAGAAGGGCTCCTTGGATGGATGAGGCCATTATCTCCAAATGCAGATAATTATCCCTCCCCATGTCCTTAACACATCTTAGGGTAAGTCAGTTTTCTTGAGGGGTGAATTCCTGCCCAAGTAATTGGCAAGCCCAGTGGATTAACGTTTTTGTTTTTTTTTTTTTTAAACTGTAATCCTTTTTCTTTTAATTAATTTTTTCCCAGGTCAATCACAGTTTCCCCTCCCTCCCTCCTGTCTTCCCAGTCCCTCTCCCAGCCTTCCCTTCATCCACTCCCTCTACCTTCCTTCAGAAAAGTGCTGGCCTCCCATGTATATCAGCTAGCCACGGCAAATAAAGTTATAGCAAGACTAGGCACCTCCTCTCCTATTAAGGTTGGAGAATTCAACCCAGCAGGAGGAAAGGGTCCCAAGAACAAGCAATAGAGTTAGAGACAGCCCCCAATCCCTCTGCCAGGTGTCCTGCAAGAAGACCAAGCCACACAACTGTAACATATGTGCAGAGGGTCCAGGTCAGTCCCCTGCAGGTTCTCTGGTTAACAGTTCCGTCAGAGACCACATGAGCCCAGGTCAGTTGACTTGGCGTGTTTTCTCACGGTGCTTTCAGCCCCTCTGACTTCCATGATCCTTCTCGTCACAGGATTTGCAGAGGTCCACCTATTGTTTGGCTGTAGGTCTCCGCATCTGTTCCCATCAGTTGCTGGATAGAGCTTTCTGATAACAGATGGACTAGGCACCAAACTATGGGCATAGCAGAATATTGACTTTTTCCAGTCGTGTTTGGGTGAACATCCTAGTTCTCTGGACCCTCCAGGCCTTGTCAGGGGTGGGTTCTGTCGCTGGACTAGCCATGCACTGACCACTCCTCTCACTTTCGTGCCGCCTTTGTCCCGGCATATCTTATAAAAGCAGGCAGTTCCAGTCCCTCCACCAGAAGTCCTGCCTGCAGGAGATGGCTGCTTCTGTATCTCCCATTGCTAGGAGTCTTAGCTAGGGGTCACCCTTGTAAGTTTCCAGGAGTTTCCATTGCACTAGGTTTTTAGCTTATCCCAAAGATGCCCCTGATTCCTGTTGTCTTCTTCAGTAGTCTCTCCCTCCATCCTTCCCCTACATGATACCACCTGTTCCTGTGACCATTCTCCCGCTTAACCCCCCTCCCTCACAACCTGTGATGTCTATTCTACTTTTCCTTCACAGTGAGATTCACGTGTGCCCCCTTGAGCCCTCCTTGTTGCCTAGCTTTTCGGGTTTTTCTTTAGTTTTTTTTCTTTCTTTCTTTTTTTTTTTTTTTTTCCTTTTGGGATTTACTCTTAAGAGAGGGGACTGTAATATATAATGTTTTCTTCTTTGGGATGTTGAGCAAACAGATCTCTGTGATTTCAAGGCCAGGCTGAATTACACAGTGAGTTACAGTACAGGCAGAGCTACATAGAGATACCAAAATAGACATACAAACAAATAAACAAAATGTTATATCTCCAATTATCTATGAATGAATGAATGAATGAATGAATGAATGAAATGTTATGTCTCCACTCAGGGCCGGAAGTAAGACCAGGAGGAGTAATTTTCCCTTAATGGGTCACAGTGTTTCCCTGAACTTGCACTTTTTCATGGTAACTGGTAGTCCAGGTTGTGAGGGAAGGGTCCAGCTTGATTGGCCTCCAAGCCTGCTAATTCCTGTCTGGTTACCTAACAGTCATCTTTGCCTTCCTCACTGCAGCATCTCAGACAGCCAATGGCGACATAAAAATCTAAAAAACCTGAGCACTGTGCTCTTGTGACAGGTCACAACGCATAGGTAGACACACTGAAACTATTATATATAGTTATCTTCAGGCTGTGTGTATATATAAAAAGGCTTTGTAGTTAAGATGGGAAAATGCTAAAAAAAAAATCTTGAAAAAAAAACCCAATAAACTTCTGTCTCAAGCATTTGGGGTAAGAGATACATGTGTGGTGGATACAGAACAGTCTTTGTGTGAGTTTCCTTCCATTGGAATTCTTCTTGCTCCAAGAACTGCTTTTCTTATTCCAGCCCAGGGCATAGACTTATGGTTTGAGAGAAGGACTGGAAAATGCCCAATTAAAAGTCAGTCTGTGGATTCATACTAGGTATTTATAATTTGTTCATATGATAGAATAGTATCCTACTGCTCTTGTGTTTAGTATACAGATTAGACAAATTTGACAAATGTGATTTTAATGAGAATTACATATAGGCTGAGCATGCCTCACCAAAATACAAAATGCTCCCAAGTTGAAACTTACTAAGCATATGTCACTCAAAGTTTCATGTTTCAGAGCATTTAAAATTTTCAGATTAAGTATGCTCAATAGTATAGCCTAAGCAAGTATTTAAAATATGAAAAACTCTGAGACATTTAGCATTTCAGATATTTGATGGCGGAAGATATAAAATAATCTCACACTAGTTCAGGATTACGTATAATAAAGAGTTATTTAGTTAGGGGAGACTCCCAGACCACTGTCCTAGATCACAGTCCTCTGCATGAACGGGAACAGGAACAGAGTCTAGCAGCTAGAAGTGAGAACCAAAAGCAAGCACACGCTTTACAGCCGCATTTATAGTATAAGACCACACCCAAGTGGGCTGGTATCTTAAAGACTATTGGCCAAAGGAGCTCTCACAGCAGATATTTTTCAAATATCTTTTAAAATATGAGGTGCACATGCCATTCATTAAGGTAGCATAACTTGACACCAAAATATGATCAAGGTAACTCACCAAGAGTATGCAGTGATCTCAGTTGCAAGGAAACTCTTGAGGCTGGAGGGATAGCTTCATGGTTAAGATGTTAGCTGCTCTTCAGGGAGTTTTATACAGTTTATTATTATATATAGAGTTCTTTCCTTTGTAGCTGTTTATAAGCCCCTTTTCCTTTGCTTTCCAGACATAATTGCACTACTGAGGTCTGTGCATTCTTCTCTCTCATGATGTCATATTTGCATGCTCATAGCTATAAAAAGCATAGTGTGCCTTGTGATTGTCTTTATTTTCACTAGTCTTTACAATTGTGATGATTTTTGTCCTTTGTAAGTACATACTGGAGTGGTATTGTCCGCAGTGCTGTATACTCTTCATCACTCCTTCTGCTTTGTGTTTCTTGTGAATTACCTGTTCAGTTAGGCCACCTAAATAGACTCAAATAGTCATTGACTTCCTGTTTGTGACTTGTTTTGACAAACTATCATGTTTTCCTCTACCATTTTGTGTAGTATGATTTTAAACCTTACATAATGACATCCTTTTATATATGCATTGTACTGACGTTTTTTAGATTTAGCACTTAAAATTTTTATATGGAATTTTGTAAGATTTTTACTTTTTAAAAGATATACTTATTATTTTATGAGTGTTTGGCTGGCACCTGTGGAGCCCAGAAGAGGGCAATGGATCTCCTGGAACTGGAGTGAGCCAACATATAGGTGCTAAGAACCAAACTCAGGTCCTCTGGAAGAGTAGCTAATGCTCTTAACCACGAATCCATCTCTCCAGTCTCAAGAGTTTCCCTGTAACTGAGACCACTGTATAGTCTTAGTAAGATCCCTTGATCATGGTTTTGGTATCAGATTATGCTACCTCGCTGAATGATTTGGGCACCTCACTTTCCTCTCTTCTTATTTGCTACTTGAGATATCTAGGAAATTGTTAAATGTCTTTTTCAGCTTCCAAGCAGTACTTTGAAAAGTACCCAGGAGATCATGAACTTCTTTGGGAAGTAGAAGGGGTAGGTCATTGGCATCAGCGGATACCAGTCACCAGAGCATTACAGAGAGAAGCAGTTAAAGTCGCAGGTAAGACTAGTAGGATGTGGGACAATTTAAAAAGCAGTACCTGATGTGCTGGTACCTTACACCTCAGCACTGCTGTGGTCTTTTTGGTTGCAGACCCTCTTTTAAAGTTTTTATTGTGCTTTTACTGTTGAGTCACTTATAAAAAACAGACCTAGAGGGGGCTGGAGAGTTAAGCAACACTTGTTACTCTTTTAAAGGATTGGATTCAATTCCCACATGGTGGCACACAACCATGTGTATAACTCTAGTTCCATAGGATTTGGCACCCTCTTCTGACCTCCTTGGGTATACACACATGGTATACATACATATTTGCTAACAGAATATTTTGCATCTTAAATAAGTCTAAAAAAGTAAAATTAAGCTAAACTGGGTGATGGTGGCATACTCGGGGCAGAGACAGGACAATCTCTGTTAGTTCAAGGCCAGCCTGGTCTAGAGAACACGTTATAGGACAGGCTCCAAAGTTACAGAGAAACCCTATCTTGGAAAAAAAGAAAGAAAAAAAGAAAAAGAAATAAAAATAAAATTGAAAGACAAAAGCAGAACTATCCCAAGTAGTGAACTGCCTCAGTAGGAATTAAAAGTAAAAATGAGTGTATTAGTGAAGAAGCATGGCCTAGGCTTTATGGATCAGAGATTGGGCATAACATGTTGTAAAGGAAACACAGCACATCTAGATTCTTGATCCTTTTTGTTTATGTTGCTCTTGGAAGTTGATGAAGATCACCAGATACTATTAAAATGAAAATCAGATATGATTAGTTTATATTTAAACGTTTTCTGTATACAGAGATTTCTCAATATGAAGCTAAAAGACCTGTGTCTGGAGAGTATGGTCTTGCTGCTGTACGAGAATATGAGCCTGGAATGGAAGACAGTCAGTCTAGTGAGATGCAGGTATAATCTTTGACCGTCATAGGAAATAGTAATGTTTTTGTGTCCTTTGTTTTTGTTGTTTATTATTTTGGTAATCATGAACATTGGCCATGGAGCCTTATGTGTGCTAGGGAAGTGTTCTACCACTGAGTTACATCCCTAGCCCAGCCTCGCTTTTACTTTTTATTTTGAGGTAAGTCTCACCATGTTGCTTAGACTGGCTTATAGTCTAGCCTGGCCTTGAACTTGAAAATGTGCTCAGCCTCATGGCCTCATGAATAGTTCACACTACAAGGCCCAGCTTAAGTTTCAAATGTTACAGTTTATTCAACAAATTTAAGTAATTACAACTGCATTCATTTTCTTGGTGACTTCTGTCAACTGATTATTAAAGATTTAATGCTTTTTTGTTTACAAGTCTTATAAGCTAAGTAAAGGTAATATAAATTATATGTACATAAAAGGAAAATATATATTACTATTTCACCGATTACTAGAGGCTGTTATTTTTATGTATATTTAATTACAATTTATATTTCTTTTTTCTCTTTTTTTATTAATTTTTATTGAGCTATACATTTTTCTCTGCTCCCCTCTACCATTTATATTTCATGTCTTAAGAATTGACAATAGTTGAATGAAAAGTTTTTACATTTTTCTAAGGATAGCATAAATAATAAGACTACTACAATATCAGGTTTTACATATATTTCTATGTTTAGGACGTCATAGTGTTTGCTCTTTTTTTCCTTTTCTTTAGTTGTTTGTTTTTGAGACAGAGTTTCACTATGTTCCCTGGCTGTCCTGGAACTCACAAAGATTCACCTGCCTCTTCTTCCTGAGGTGGTACTTTGCTTGCTTTTACTTGTTTTGTACATAAAACATCACATGTGGTTCTCTTTACCTTTTATCATTTTATTTTTTCTAGTTGAACTACAGACTTCTTGAAGGCAAAATTTTGTTATGCATTTGCCACAGTGAGCTACTTTAAAGTCTATAATTAGACTTAAATTTCAGTTAACCCAATATTTGCATGTTTTTTTGCAGTACAATGTGACATTTTATTATGTGCATTATGTAATGATTTCATCGGGATAATTTTCACATCCATCACCTCAAAACATTTGTCATTTCTTTTGTTGTCAGCTTTCAAATTCACATAACCTTACTAGCTGTTCTGAAATATAGGATGACTTTTTTCAACTCTAAATAGATCTTTTGATGTGTGTGCCTCCCATGGTGTAGTTGAGTAAGTGTGTAGTAGGTAAATGAGTGGATGGCATTTTGTAATGGAGTAGGTATTAGGGCAAGCAGTGGAGGTTCAAAGATAAAGGTATGTCCTTGAGTACATGAGAGAACTAGATGATCCACTGTTGGAAACATAAATAAACTGCAGCATGATGTTTGCCTTTGTTGTTATAGCAAATGACTGAAGGTACATAGTACAGGGTGACTGAAAGGGCAGCTAGAGGTCTATGAAAAGGTTGTTAGGTCATTTTAGAGGTATAGCATGTAAAAGAAATGTAAGAGATAATTCAGAAATGATATACTTAATATAAAAGAAATTATTGAAAACTTTTTTTAGTTTGTATTCTATACAGTGATAAGGTATTGATTTGAAAGTTTTAAGCAAAGCATTGCATAGTCTGACTGCGAAGCATTTTATTGGGTGGAAAGGGTTAAAGGTTGGTACTTGGCCAGGGAAGAAGCTATTTGGAATTATTTAGATTTAAGATAATAAAGGTCTGGGCACAGCAGTGGTGATAGGAAAGGGCAGTTCTGAGAGAACCTTCATTTAAAATCCACAAGCTTTGTGATTGGTGGAATGATAGGAAGGACTCATTGCTATTTTTTCACAGAATTGCTAGAATGACTGTGATTGCTATTGCCATTAATGTAGATAAGGAATAATGTTTGGAATACTTGCTTTGGAAATCAAGGCAGAAGTTGGGAAAATTTATTTGTATGTTTTGATTCATCTACAATAGCTATTAAGTGAAGATAGTACACAGAAAAAGCCAGGAGAGCAGGTAGCTGTGGACAGAATGCCAGGACATTCCAAGGTAAAGCTATAACATTTCAGATCCTTGGATAAACTCACAGACTTACAATGAAACAAGGGATATAACATAACCTTTTACTTTTGAAGGTAGATTTCTTAACAAAAAGTAGTGTTTTAATACAGTTAAATATTTTTCTTTGAAACTCTGAACAAAATAGGCCCGTAGTGAGAAAGGACAGTTAAAAATATTAAATTTTAACCTTTGTCTTTATTTTAGATCCATTCCCTAAAAGATGCCTTTGCTAGCACTTCTGAAGGTAAGAAAATCAGCTGTTCTTTTAGTAAATGTTCTGGCTTTGGACTCTCATGCACCACTCCCCGATTTTACTATTGTGTGTGAATACGGGGGTGCTGTTGCGCCCCCTCCTCCTTTTCCTGTAACATAGGGATCATAATGTCCATATTGTTCCCCAAAATCAGTTGGAGAGAACATGACTGTAGAAACCCTCAGGATAACGTAGAAGTACGAGGAATGAATGTTGGCAGTCATCTTACAATGAAAACAAATGCTGACGATGAAACCAAACGCTGACATTGTTTTCTTAGCTGGAGCTGAAGGAAGCAGGAAAACTGTACAGTGGGCAGTGGGTGGGTTAGCTGGTGTGGTTCTTGCATTTCTGTGTGTTTTCATAGGTAGTCCTTCCCATGCATAGTCAGTGCTGTTTCCTGGTTTGCCCTCAGGTCCAGAAAAGACGCCTGTTTCTACTCGAACTCGAAGTAGTCACCTAAAGCGACCAAAGATCGGAAAGCGGTTTCAGGATTCTGAATTTAGCAGTTCTCAAGGTGAAGATGAGAACACTGCCCAGACTGCACCTGTGGCTTCAGTAAACAAGTAAGAGAGAAATGATGCTTCACTCACGTTATTTCATGGATTGTCGGTTTTGTACTGTTGGTGTCTGGTCCTGAAGGTTGAGCTCTTTCCTGCGCTGCAGCAGGTATCTTTGCCCAAGGGTTTGTACTTCAGTTCTGCTTCCTAGGAATGTTCTTTTCTGACTCACTCTAGAGTCTTCATGTGTGCAAACCCAGAGTACTCAGGTCATTATATTATCCCAGAAGATTCATCATCAACTTTGATAGGGTAGATTTCACTAATGCGGAAGCTTGAAGTCTATTTAAAGAAAATTCAGGTACTTTATAATTAATCCACTTTACTCAGGCTACTGGATAGTAATAACCATACAGTCAGTTTTTTCAGAGACTTGGCAGTCAACAGAATCAGTAGAATTCTTGGTAAAAATTTTATCTTCAAGTGAGATGTGGTGACTTATGTCTATAATCCACTATTTGGGAGGCTGAGATGGCCAATTGCCTGGAGTTTGAAGCAAGCTCGTGCTGAATGGCAAATCTCTGAAACAAATGAAAATAACAACAACAAAAAAAGTGTCTTTGACTCTATCTTTCAGGTTTTGGAGGGGAATTTTACATGATCTGAAACTTGCTATGTGGCCATTTCTTTCTGCTTCTACCTCCTGAGACCTGGGATTACAAGCTGGGTACCACAGTACCTTGTTTATATGGTACAGGCGGATTGAAACCAGCACTTTTATAGCTACGCTATACTGAGCCGTCTTTGCAGCTCTTTTACATCTGAAAGAAATGAATATTTTATATTTTATAATAAAATTAGGCTTTTCTGACTAACCATTTAATTCAGTCATTAGTTAATTCACAGCTTTGTCACTTTAGATGTTAAATTATCTCAAATCTAAAAAAATCTGTTACTTTAAATATGAAATAATTTTAGATAGGGATAATTAATTATTTAATTTTAATAGAATATAGATAAAAATTTAAATGTAAAGTGAATACTGTGTATAGATAACTATGTAGTAGTCTCATGAACAGTTATTTAATGTAATGAAGCTTTATTTGTGAATTTTTAAGATTGTGTGTGTGTGTGTGATATGTAGGTGGGTCTTCTGTCTAAGTGTTACTTTCATTGGTTAATAAAGAAACTGCCTTGGCCTTAGATAGGACAGCAGCTTAGATAGGCGGAGTAGACAGAACAGGATGCTGGGAGAAAGAAAGCAGAGGCAGGCAGTCGTCATGAAGCTCTGACCCAAGATGGATGTAGGTTAGAATCTTCCTGGTAAGCCCCCACCTCGTGGTGACACATAGATTATTAGAAATGGGTTAGATCAATATGTGAGAGTTAGCCAATAAGAGGCTGGAGATAATGGGCCAGGCAGTTTTTAAAAGAATACAGTTCCCATGTAATTATTTCGGGTAAAGCTAGCCGGGTGGCGGGAACACAGCCTGCCGTTCCTTTTGCAACGTGTGTGTGTGTGTGTGTGTGTGTGTGTGTGTGTATCTGTGAGCACATGCAGAATCCAGAAGAGACCACTAGCTGTCCTCTGTCACTGTCCACCTATTCCTTTGGGATCAGTGCTTAAAAATAAGTAGAACTTTATAAGTATAATTAGGATAGAGAAGAATTTCAAGGCCCACTAGCTGTGCTCTACAGGCTCAGTCTAGTCTCAAACTCAAAAATCTGTCTGCCTCTGCTTCCTGAATGCTGGGATTAAGGGCGTATGTAAGTACCACCTGATTCACAGGTGTGATTTCATACATGAATACTGTATCACATCATTTCTAACCTTCTCCCCTTGCAATTCTTGTGCCCCACCCCCAACTCTTATCTTAAATTCTTGGGTGTTTGTTTGATTTTGATTTTTCAAGACAGGGTTTTTCAATAACAATGGAGCCAGTCCTCGAACTCTGTAGACCAGGCTGGCCTCGAACTCATAGAGTTCTGCGTCCTGAGTGCTGGGATTAAAGGCATGCACCACTACCACCTGGTTTTATCTTAAATTCTTAACCTGTGGGTATCACTGCCATTCAAACCACCACATTCCGTTCCCTGACCTCCATAGGCTTATACCATATTGCAAAATATATTTGATCCAACTTCAAAAGTTATTATAATTTTTCAGTCTCAGTACTTTAAAAGTCCAAAGTTCAAGGTCTCTTTTGAGACTCAAGACAATTGTAACCCTCTGTAAAATTAAAATCAAAAGAAAAATTACATACTTCAACATACAAGGCACAGAATATACATTAAGAGACATAAGAGGGCATAGTGAGGAAATATTGGACCCCAGTATAGAAAACTCCTAATTCTGTAGCTCTATATCTCATGTGTTCCTTTTCTCTTTAAACTGTATGTTTAGTATTTCTTTTTGCCCCACTTGCTCCTTCTCATTGTAGATCTGTGATTGTGGTTGTTCATAACCACATTGTGGAGTGGTTATTAGTGATTTTGAGACCTATTAGGTTGTCTTGAAATCTCTACTGAAGAAATTGTTTCATGGGGGGGCTCAGAGGTTAGGAGCACTGCCTGCTCTTCCAAAGGTCCTGAGTTCAATTCCCAGCAACCACATGGTGGCTCACAACCATCTGTAATGAGGTCTGGGGCCCTCTTCTGCCCTGCAGGCATACACACAGACAGAATATTGTATACATAATAAATAAATAAATATTTTAAAAAAGAAACTGTTTCATTACTTTTTAGTTTCAGGGAAGTTCTTAAGACAAGGTCAGGAGGCAGCCACATTCTTTGCCAAAATAGTACAAGAATGATTATCTAGCCAGCTTGCTAATTCTTTCCCCTGGAAAAATATATCGCTCAATAAAAACAATTTTAAAAAAATCTTCCCGCTGAAGCCTCTTGAGCTGGATCTCCACAGTCCATGTAGAGTCACCACTGTCTTTCAAGCTCTGCTCACAGCAGCCAACTAGTTTTCTAGTCCAAAGTCCCAAAGTCTTCTAGATTCCTTTTTCCTTCTTAAAGAAAAAAGTGTCACAGTGTTAGCCCATCCCCCAGTACCAACTTCTTAGTTTCTTTTCTGTTGCTGTGATTTTTTTAAAAAAAGACCACAACAAAGTCAACCTCAGAAGGAAGGGTTCCTTTGAAGGTTAAAGTTCTAGAGAGGTTGCATCCCATCACTGTCATAGTAGAGAGAGTGGCAGGAAGCAGGCAGGCATGACTCTGGAGCAGTGCTGAGGGCTCATCCACAGAACAGGACAGAGAACACACTGGGAGTATTTTGAAATTTTAAGCTCATCTCCAGTAATATACTTTATTATTGACAGAAGCTGTGCTCTAAAAATAGTGGAAGTCAGCTGGGGTATCTGTTCATTCCAATAGAGTAGGATAGAGTAGATGAAACGTCTAGTTTAAATAGAGAAAGTGGTGATGGTTTTAATTGAACTAAACAATAGGCAGGAAAAGGAACAATTTTTTTCAGAATGAAAAGATTAGTCTTGGACCTACATACAGAATCTAAAGCTGATGGAATACCACTTAATGATCTAAAATGTTACTTTTTAAAGAAGGGATTCTAGCTGGGCAGTCGTGGCACACACCTTTAATCTCAGCACTTGAATGGCAGAGACAAGTGAATATTGGAGTTTGAGGCCAGCGTCATCTACAGACTGAGTTTCCAGAACAGACTTCAAAGCTACAGAGAAACCCTTTCTTGCAACACAAAAAGGGGGGAAAAACCCTCTTTTTTCCTAGGGATTCTCGGTTGCTGAGGCAGGAAGATTTTTAGTGAACCCCAAGACAGGCTGAGCGATTTTAGCAAGACCTTTTTCAAAGTAAAAAGGGCCAGGATTATACAATGCTTTGGTTAATCAGTCGTACTAGAGGCCCTGACTTCATCACCTATACTGTCTCAAAAATAGGATCCTGGAAATTTTACCTTTTTCTGTTGGTTTGTTTTCCAGAATAGAATATACTGCACGCACTTCAGAGAGCTCAGAAGAACTCTTGGAAGAAGAACCTGAGCAGAGAGTGACTGAATTTGAAGAAGAAAGCAGTGGTAAAGATGCACAGCCTACACTGGACACTCAGCCACGCCTGGACAAACAGGATGGTGACAAAGTATGAAGTCCTCAATAAATAAAACCATACACTGCTAGAGAAAAAAAACCATGATGTAGAAATGGTGATTGGTAAGGAAAAGTACACACTGACTAGGATAATAGGAAGGCAAATTGGAAGATTCCTCAGTGCATTTTGAATACAGACTGAGAAGTGGAGCTAAAGATATTTAAGTATATAAGCGATAAAGCCTTGTAGACCGACTAGGGTCCAGGCAGTCCTCAGTTGCACCTGTAATTTTGTTAGAATTAGAAATTAGTTATTTGGATTTGGATTTTTTATTTTTACTAGGGAAAAAAATAGGTAAAATAAATAAAAAACAAAACAGCATCATGAAACAATACCTGAAAACAGATTAATTCTCTGTAGCTAAGGAAATAATCCTGCTTGATGCTTGATCTCTTTGTATTTGTTATTCCTGTTCCCCTTTTCCCCGTTACCCATTTGTCCATCCTTTTTGATAGCTTCAGTCCTTTCTACTTTAAACATTCTTTCTTCGTGGTTTCATATGCCCCTGAGTTCCTTGAAAAATCTTTTATGTATTTCCCTAGTGTATGCAGTATAAGAATAACAAAGTACTACCAATTTTCTTTATTATTACTATGTTTTTATTATGTATGTGTGTGATGTCTCCATATATGTCTGCACCACTTGTGTGTCTAATGCCTAGTACCTTTGAAGGTCATAAGGCAAGCCAGGCATGGTGGTCCACAACTTTAACCCCAGCACTGGGGAGACAGAAACAGTGTATCTCTGTAAGTTTGAAAGACTCTGTCTCCAAATAATGAAAAACAAACAAAAACGAGGGCATGAGATTCTCTGGAGCTGGAGTTACAAACAGTTTAGGTTGCCATGTGGGTGCTGCTGATTGAATCTGAATTCTCTGCAGAAGCAGCCAGTGCTTGTAACTCTAAAAAGTCTCCAGCACCACTCATACCAATTTTCTTCAAACTATAATATACAGTGTGTACCATGTAACCTGTCTCATCTGGCAAGACATGTAGCATGTTATTACAGCACTCCCGTGACAGTACCATTGGAAGTGACTTCTCTTCCCTGTAGTGACTGACGGCTTTACCTTTCTTATGGTTCTCTAGTTTCCTGGCTTTATAACATTTTAGTCTTTGAGGGTTTTGTTATTATTTTGTTCCTGTATATGTATATGTGTCCATGTGTCTGCATATATATTAGACTCTGACTCATGCTTTTTTTCTCTCCTTAATGTGTACGTTCTGGGAAACTTTGGTCTTTGGTTCATGGTCTATCTGTTGTCGGGTGGGGGTGCACATGCCTGTGTGTACACATGCAGAGGCCAGAGAAGGATGTCTTCCTCTATTGCAGTCTGCTTTAGTGCTTTGAGATGGGGGTCTCTCACCAAACTGAAGCTTCCCTTTTATCTAGACTGGCTGGTAAGGCGGGTTGACCATTTTTCTCTGGGTCCTACTGCTGTTAGTTACAGGAACAAGTAATTGTGTTCACCTTTTTACGTGGATGTGGGAATTTGAACTCAGATCCTCATACCAAATGCTCCATACCAACCCCAAGTCTTGATCTACAATATAACTTGCCTACTGTATATCTCTGTCACCATAAATCCAATAATACTTGTTTTTTCTTATGTTTATTTTTAATTATGTGTGGAGGTGTATTTCTGTGTTTGAGCATCTGCATATGAGTGCCCACAGAAGCCACAAGAGGTTGCTGAATCCTCTGGAGCTGTAGTTACAGACATTTGTTAGCCGTATAACATAGGAGCTAGGAACTGACATAGTCTTCTGCAAGAGCAGTACTCACTCTGAGCCTTGGCGCCATCGTAATTCTTCTGTGTGGAGTCGCTTTCCTGTTTTGTTCATTCTGTTCTCAAATCTAAAACTTAAAGGACTGACGTTTTCATTGCTTCTTACTTTGTGACCACAGTTCTGCCTTCTATTGTTTTTCTTATTTTTTGTCTTTAACATTTCTCCCTCTATGTTTGGTCCTTTTATGAGTTTACTGTAATTACCTTCTGTTTGTAACCAACTGTGTATACCATTTTGTATAATAGTAAAATATATATTGATAGAAAATATTCTCTTTCTCTCTTTGTTGAGATAGAATCCCCCTTGTAATCCACTCTATCCTGAGAATTGACATATTTACTTAGACTGTCCTGAAACTTGGAATCCTCTCTCCTTAGTCTTCTGATACTTACCACCAGGCTCATTTGAAAACCTTATATTTTAGAAAAATTTTATTTTGGAAAAGGTAAGTATTTTTCACATCTCTTTTGGAAAACTTTCTTTTGAGTCCAAGTCTCTCTACAGAGTCCTGGCTGTCTTGGGACTCACTATGTAGACCAGTCTGTCCACAGAGATTTGCCTGCCTTGAGTATTGTGATTAAAGGTGTGTGCCACTACATCCATCTGGAAAACTTTCTTTTATATGCTTGAATATAAAATCTGATATTGGATCTAGTTTTGACCAGTCATGTGCATTAATAATCTAATTTTTAAAATGGTATAGAATACCTTCTGGTTATTAGACTGTCATTAGAAATTAGAAATATTCAACATTAGCTGAACAGTGGTAGTGTACGCCTTTAAATCTCAGTACTTGGGAAGGCAGAGGCGGTGGATCTCTGGGAATTTGAGGCTAGCCTGGTCTACAGAGCGAGTTCCAGAACAGCCAGGGCTACATAGAGAAACCCTGTCTTGAAAAAACAAAAGAAAGCGAAAAAAGAAAAGGGATAGAAAGGAGCAGGATCTTTCCGTTGAATCTCAGACCCACGTTGTGTAATCCCCGGGCATCCTGGTACTGCCCTATCACCAAAAAACAGTAGGAGTATGTGGTCTGCTATGCCTGCCGCCCCCCCCCCCCCGGGGGGGGGTGGGGGGGGTTGTTTTTTTTAAGAAGGTTTCCCTGTGTAACAGTCCTAGCTGTCCTGGAACTTGCTTTGTAGATGAGGCTGGCTCCGAATTCACAGAGATCAACCTACCTCTGTTTCCAGAGTAGTAGGATTAAAGGTGTGTGCCATCATGCCCAGCCCTGGGGGACTTTTTACTTTGCTGGTACTGCCTACTAAGTTCCTCTTCCACTAAATCTATTCTTTGACGACTCATACTTTATATTGTCTTAATCTCTTGTGAGTCCTGGTGGATGATAAGTAGGGACTGAGAATGGGTCTTCCTTGAACAGCCAGTTAGTTTGTAATCAGACCCCAACTTTCCTTCTTGGTATAGGACTCTACATTAGAGCCTGTGAATGGTGAGGTTGTGGATGATGCCCTTAAGACCTCACTGGTGACTGAAGAGGAGGACTCCAGTGAAGGTCTGGAAGAAGAGCTAAAAGTCCCGTCTTTGAATTCCAGCGAAGAGACTGTGAATACTGTTCCAGTGGTGGCAGACCCTCCAAAAACTTCTGAGGCTGCACCAGACAAGGTAAGGCAGAATCACCTCACTTTCTTATAGGTAACCTTTGCCAGTAGTGGTGCCATTAGGTAAGGTGGAGGAGTCAGAATCTTTTCCTACACCCTAGCATATACTCTTTCAGACATAAATTTTTGTATGTCTTTCAAGGTTCAATTCCACCCCCACCCCACATCATAACTGCTTTATGGTAACAAAATGAGAACTCTCTTACAGGCTTAGGGAAATGATTAGAAAAATTCCAAAAAAACATGGTTTATCAAACAGTTGAATACTTATTATATACATTGGCTATTACTACTACAGTAATTTTGATTGTTTTAAATTCAGTAGACAAGCTAAAGAAAAGCTTGATGAATATTTAAAAATTAGTTTGGCTTTGAATATTTCAATTTACAGCTAAAAGACATATATACTAATGCTTTCTAAGTGTCTTACAAAGGTTGGTGAATAAAGCTCCCATTGTCCTTACCGCTGTTGTCCAGTGAAACTAGTTAGACTGAGCAAGGGATAGGATAGTGTTGTCCCAAGAGATTCTTCATTCTGGCTACAGTAACAGCAGAACTTAAAGATAACTGATGGTTTGGTAGAACCGTAGTGTTTTGGATACTCTTTTGAGGCAAAATGATTTCTTACTGTATTAAATTTGCCGTCAGACATTTTGAAGAAATTTCGGGTTCAATTTAGAATATGGACTTATTTGTAACAAAAATAATCAGTACTGAGTTCTTTACATATCAGTGACAGTGTTCTGAGAATGATTCATTTAGAACTGTATTATAAAACTGTTTACAGCTTTATTTTTGTATGGCTTTTTTCTCCCAGACCTCACCTGTTTCTGATTCAGAAATGTTGACAGATCAAGGCCCATCTGATGATAAAGGACATACTGAGGAAAAGCTAGTTTCAAAAAAGAAAACACATTTGGGGAGCTCAGACAGTGTTGCCACTCTGTCAAACGAAGAGAAGTCTGATGGTGGTTTCCCAAATTCTGCAGTAACAGACTTTCCTGAAGAGCCGGTCTCTGAGAATTTATCACCCAACACTACTTCCTCACTGGAGGATCAGGGTGAGGATGGAGTCCCGGAGGCCCAGGAAACATCTGCTGCTCAGAGTTCTCTGATAGAGGTAGAACTTGAAGATGTGCCATTTCCACAGAATGCAGGGCAGAAGAACCAGTCAGAGGAGCAATCTGAAGCGTCTTCTGAGCAACTGGACCAGTTCCCACAATCAGCTGAGAAAGCTGTGGACAGCAGCTCAGAGGAGATAGAAGTGGAAGTCCCTGTGGTAGACAGGAGGAATTTGAGAAGAAAGGCCAAAGGACATAAAGGACCTGCCAAGAAAAAAGCCAAACTGTCCTGAATGAAGAAATGCGTATGATAAATTCTTTGTAATGTAGTTGTTTTTAAACATAGTAATTAATAAACAGCAAGGGGCACAGGATAGATTCCAAAGTTTCAATCTGAACTTATTTATAAACGCATTTTCCTCTCTACCCTTCAAGGCTCACCATTCTTTTTTATTATTTTCTCTAAGTAACTTTTATTTTTATGAACCATGTGTCAATTTTGAGAATCCAGGTCATACATTTTTCTTTAGCACGTGGAACATCTAACCATTAATATTTCAAAAAAATTAAAAATCTAGTAGACTTTCTAACACAAAGATCCTAGAAATCTTTTATACTAAGGGCTTTAATGGTAAAACTTGGCAAGGGTTCTCAAAGCTTTATCTTAGTATCAAAAACAATCTCCACTTTTTAAATGTGGGCATAAGTAAACAAAAACGTGTCAATAAATTAAAATAATCTCAAATGAGAGGACAAAACATAGTTTTTGGCAGTGAACATGATTGTTTTTATTTCTTATTAGTTGTAGATAGTTCAACATGTGTGAAGTACAGTCTAGCCTTCCTATCATCTGACGTTAACAGTACTGTTAGAGACTTAACTGTGGCATATGGGTAATTTAAAATTCCACCTGACGTATTAGTTTGCTATAATTTTTTAATTTTTCTGTATACTTGCAGATGCTAAAAAGCTTGGGTATACTTTCATCTGGTAAACAATTCAAGCAATTGAATTTAGAATGTAGTTTAATTTGGACGGTGGGTCTGATCAGATACTTTTATTCCTGCCTAATAAATTAGAATTCTGCAGAAGTATAGGCCCTTCCTATGTCTGCTCAATCCCTCTACTGCTCTGTAAGTCACTGTGATTCTTCTGTTAAGACTTCCATCTAGCTTGCAATTTATACTTTTATTTCCATTTTGGGATAGGTTTAGAACCACATCTTTAGACCTATTCTATGAGGTGTCGAATGCCTAAATTCTATTTCTGCTGTTCCTTTGAGTCTTGTATACTTTAGATGTTCTGACTATTGACTGTAGGCTACCCTGTATGTGTACTTTACTGCAATGTCAAAAGCATTTAGTTTTTTTGTTTTATAGGGGGGAAACCTGTTCATTTCTTTGAGTTGGTTTAAAGTGAGCAAAACAATTATTCTTAGATGCCATAGAGAATCTGTCAGTAGTATTTTCAAAATACCATGTACTCTCATTTATACTCAAGTTGGAGGCTATTTTGAGACCATTAAGATTTATTATTATGAAACAGTTTGAGCCTTGAGAAAATACCTGGACTTTGTGTCCTTATGTGAGGTGCTGTGAGTTTGGATTTGCAGTCTTCAGTTGGTTAGGTTAGGTGATTTGGTGATGTCAGGTCTTACATTTAGGGATGAGATGTTTTAGAAAATCCAATTAATTAAAATCTTTAAGCAGACCAAATAGTAAACTCTACTATGATGTTAGAACTTGTATTTACCTGTTGTTTTTATTTTTGGCTAGAAGTTAGTTAAATGATTGTTAAGTGAAAATTACGGCATTTTTCTCAGTGCTAAGTTAAAGAATAGGTGTGAGTAACTCTGAATTTGCCTGATGCTGATGCTGTTTTACACATTTAGAGAAGCTTTTGTTAGGATCTCAACTAGGGATAGTATCTGAAGAGTCTGTTAAGATTCAGAAACTTAAATTCTAGTTTGTTTTTTTTTTTTTGACTACTGTTCCCTTTACATTCTTTAAATGAGTGTTTTTAAAAGATTGCACTCACTGGCAGCTTGATGTGTGAATAGTCTCTTGAGTTAAAGCAAAATACTCATCACACTGGGGACTAGTATATAAACTTATACTTATTAAACTTGTTTACTATAACTGGAATTTAAAGCAATTTCAAAACATTTAGCACACAAGGAAATGTGTTGTCTGTGACAGAAGTTAAAGTTTAGAGATCACGGGAAAAATTTTGTCACACAGGAAAGATCTTTCATGTTCAGTAGCATACTGATCATATAAAATTTATAATAAAATTTGTATGTAGTAGGGAACCTAAATAAACTTAATTCAATACTTGTAGTTTTTGCAAGGCATTAGGAGGGCTGCTGTGACTTCAAGCAGCTAGTTTTGTATGTTTGGTCACACCCTGTCATATCTTGGAAACTGGTACTTTTTGTTTAGAAGTCATGTTTGTGGAGAAGGGTGTTCCCTTCTGGTGTATATACATATATATTTCCGTATATAATATAAAGCAGATGAGTATTAGCAAAATTTTAGTTTTACTTTCAAACCTAAACTATTAGACCACACAAAAAATTATTTAAGAATTTTATTGTAAAGCTCCTTTACAAGTTTTAAAGATGGAGAGATTATATTATGATTTTTAACAATATCAAATAATAGCATGACTTAGAATGTCAGTCATCTATGTTATGTTCACATCCTTCTACTTTAATGTGTCTACGTTATTTCCACTGGTTTGCAGAGCAAGGAATTCTAGTCATTAATGGTTTACTTTTAATAGATCATCACAGTGTTACCTGAGATGGTTTGTGACTTTAGCATAGTGTTCCCTTAAACCCTGTCTATGAGCTAAACATCTCCAAGGCTCCTTCCTCTGCAATTACCTTCTAAGGTGTGGTCACACCAGCAGCCTACACAGATTTCAATGTAAATAAGGAGTTTATACTAACACTACTCATATGTAACCATATTTAGGAAGCAACTTCTGCCTTTTATGTCCACTCGCAATCTGGTGTTTTTTGGTGTGGTCTGTTACATATGTCATGCTTGCTTTCATACTTCCTACAAGATAGTTTGCTGTTTTTATTTCTTAAAAAAAGCAAACCTACTTCAGCAATACCACACTGATTACCTGAAGTCAGACTTCCTTTCACTATCTCTGACTTGAGCGAATAAATCATATAGTACCCATTTTTATTGGTGGAAAACGTTAAAATCTAATTGTAAGAAAGGTCCTGAGGTGAATCTGTTTGTACTAAATGGTCATTTACTACCACCATCTTTGTATGTTCTAAAACTTAGAGGAAAAAAATGTTGTATTATTCAGAGCTGCAAGTCTTACTGGAGAATTTACGGTTTGTTTCCTTGCTAGTCTTCCCCCCACCTTAATGTTTAAAATAGTAATTAAACCTATATTTTGTGATTGTTTTCTGGTCTGTTTTCAATTTTTTTCTTTTTTCCCCCAATTTTCATTCATGAAGATGTGCTTAATTATTGTAATAGACATTGAATGATTCTGTTAAAGGCAAAACTAGTCACATTGGCTGACTTTAAAAAAAAAAGTCATGACCATATGATTCACAGAACAAAAAAGAGCTTGGATTAAGTTACAATTCCAAATCATGACTTTTAATCTAATTAACTGCTGCATTTCAGGGCACTAGTACATGGTCTAGAACTATCTAACCAATTTTTACCATCATTGTAGTAGTATAAATGTAGAAGTACACTGGAGTTCACTGACGTACTACATAAATTATTAGTTACAAGTGGAAAAGCTACAAGTTGTGTTCAGTTTAATTTATCTTCTCACATACTTTTAATGTAGTATTTCTTAAAACACTTATCTCGTTTAACATGTTCCATTTTTTAGGGTTAATGGCAGTGAGATGGAAAATACTTAATAATTAAGTGTTCATTAACCTTAATGGGTACTTAAAACTACACTGGGGTTTTTTTCAGCAATGCTGCATGCCCACTCTTTAGTTCACATACATCTATTTGTATGCTTGCTATTCAGTTACTACATTTTATTGACATGTAAGCCCTTAGGCCCCAAACTAAACACTCACTGTAAAACTGTGCAGTTTTTATTTTTTATTTACAATTTAATAAATACTCCTCGATGACTGCTCATGGGTAGGCACCTTGGTAGTATTCAGAAAGATCACAGTGGTGGTGTTTTCCTAACGGTGCGTAGTTTTCAGTAGAAGTCACTATCAAACCAGCAAGACGGCATTTATGCACCCATCATTTTCAGGATTGTTTGTAACTTGGGCATACTTTCCTAAGGAGAAGAAAACCCAAAAGAAGAGAATAATGTTAACAAAAATAATCTTAAAGCATAAAACTTTTGTCTAAAGTCTAACTACTTTAAACTTATGTAATTATGTTCACAAATGGCAGCCAGCTCCATTTTATTAATACATTTTATTAGTGTCTACTTTCCCATGATGACTTACTTTGATTTACTTTGCTTTAATGAATTTCAAATCAGTCTAACAATCTATTTTAAACAATATCTTCCTTTTCAAACAACATCTTAAATTTAAGAATAATCTGGGCAGTAAAAGCAAAAACTAAATCAGGAAAAGACTCATCGCTCCAAGCCCCTAACATACTTGGCTCTTCTTCATTAGAGAGAAAGTAGTTGTATACTTTTAATACTCAGGAAAGTGTTTGCATTAGGCTACAGGAAAGCAATCCCACATTTGAACTTTTACTTACCCCAAATAACCTTGCCTCCTTGTGTCACAAGGCCCAACTCGCTCACATTCACTTCAATAACTGTACCTTTGGTGATTACACCCAGAGTTGTATATAATGGGGATGATGGATTCTTTTTCACACCAAGTATTGGCAAGCAAAAGGTGGCTTTCAGCTCAGGATGTGTGACATGAGCTTTTTTGAAACGCAGACCCTGGAAAGTCAACCACAAGAGTGAGTCCACAAGGTGGGCAGGGGCTTTAGAATCCTTTTTTTCTAGTCTTCTAGTCATCTCAACTAGGAGATGAATATTGCCTTAAACCATCAAATAAAATATTAACATTTCTGCAGACTAAAAATCTCAGTGGATAAATGTGGTAGAAAGAAGTACACACGGGGCTGGAGAGATGGCACAGAGGTTAAGAGCATTGCCTGTTCTTCCAAAGGTCCTGAGTTCAATTCCCAGCAACCACATGATGGCTCACAACCATCTGTAATGAGATCTGGTGTCCTCTTCTGGCCTTCAGGCATACAGGCGGACTGAATATTGTATACATAATTAATAAATGAATGAATGAATGAATAGAAAGAAATACACACAATCAAAAAGGTTTCCCATGTCAGAATACCCAGTTAATAGCTGTGTTTTTCTAGTCACTGCACTCACTGAGTATACTCCATGCCAGACACTGCTAGAGCTCACGAGTACCTTGTTTATACATGACAACCTCCCAGGAGCCCTCCAGGTCTGCACGTTTGATTAAATCATATGTGGTAAATGGAATCAAACCTATGGGTTCCAATTTCAGATTCCAAATACTTCAGCCATCTTTAAACATGGGGAAGAAAAAGGGATTGGTGGGTGTTAGCTTTCTTTATGTAGATGGTAATATGACTCAAAGACTGGAGAATATTCTGAGAGGTCCATGTCACAGAGATGCCACCAAGTCCCCTGAATGGGGTCCTATCAGTACAGTACTTTAAATATCAGAACATCATGCAGTCTTGCTTTATTTTTACCTCTGGGGATGGAAGGAAAATGATGTTTAATTAAGTTCTTAGTATTGAAAGAAAGTTCCCTCCCCGGAAAAAAATGCCACCAAAATTTATTCCAAAGATTATAAATACAAAGTTAAGGTCAGGAATCATGAGTGAATAAATGTTCTGGGCTGTGCAGGCAGGTAGCTTCTGGTGCAGTAGGTGAACGGGGGGGGGGGGGGGTTTGAACTGCCCTATCCAGTGAAAAAGCTGGTAGCAGTGATTGTAAGCATTTGAATCCATTACGAATTACTTAGATTGAGCATTAAGATCAATACCACCAACATTCATGTATCTAAGCAGGCTAGGCTTACGGTGGCACATTAAATCTCTGAAAGGATTCTGATAAAAATCAGTTCCATATATTTCAAAGCAGGAGGGGAAATTCTAGGCAGGGGATTAGTTTGTTAAGATATTATTACTGCTGTCAACAGAAATTAAGCTATTTTATAGTCCTTATAAAAACAAAATAGTTATACTATTTAGAATGTATACAAAAGGAGTAAAAATGACATTTACCTCACTAAAGCTCAAGCTAAGTCCAGTGCTTTTTTGTCTTTTGGCTAAGATCAAATGTAAGCGAACATTCTTACTCAAATTGTCTAATTAGTTGGTATCAAAGGCCTAGCACTTCAGGCATAATAGCATCTATCTTGTTGAATAAAGAAATATGACTATTAAAGAATGAAGAGTCTAGTGTATAATGTTTAAATACAAGAATTCACTAGCGATGTGTTATAAAAATTCTTTTATCTCAAATCTATTATGAATCTGAAGACTCAGCCTAGATTCATGGAAAATACAAAGTAAATTTCAATTAATGACGTAACAAAAATAGCACAAAATGCTCTCCAAGCTGTTTTTCACATCAATTTTAGCAATTTCAGGAAACTGTAATATTCTTTTTCCAAGAATATTTAACAAGGGGTTAACATTAAGTCATCATACTCCCATGGAAACTTACCATTGGCCTGATAAACCTTTCATATTTAGGTGGTTTTCTTGTAAAACCATCACCAACAAAGCAGACTTTAGTAACCATCCTCTTCCATGCCTTCTTTTTTCTTTTTCCTGTTCGAATAACTTTCAATACTTCTGTTTCTCCTTGGGCACGAACTTTGGGTAGAGGGACTTCCCATTTTCCCTAGAAGTGCAGGTTTGTATTGTAATTAAAAGAGAGTAAGAATGAGTCACGCGTTTTAGTTAGAGTAGAACACTCACTTCCCCTAAACCATTCAGCACATTTCACTTGTTGTTCAACTGTTTTGGGGAAGTCTGTGCTGTTTCTTCAGAAGCCATAATTAAGAAAAATCAGTTAAGTTCATATATCCTGGTACATTAAATAAATGGTTAAGCTAAGAGTTCTTCATACCTTGTTATGGACCCAAAACCTGTTCCTCTAAGGCAATGACTTATCAACAGTGTATGTCCTAGTTACTAGTTTCAAGCACAGTATCCCACTTGGTTTCTTTGTTATTTTACTCTAAAATGGACTTTGAGACTGATCATCATGTTGTCAGGTGTTTTGTACTGCTCCAGAATACACAGACACACAAAACAAAACCTCTCAAGGTATATCAATACTAGGCATTGGAAAGAATACTGGACTAATGCAGAGCAACTCCAGCATTTCACAATGACCTGGCAGCCAAGAATGATTTACAATCCCTTAAACTCTAGATTCTTTTATCTGCAGTTAGAATAGTTCAATCTATTCATTGAGTAGATAACTGCTACTCCTCATAACGTTCTAATTTGGGATATTTACAAATTGAAAAAAAATATTTTAATACTGTGTATTTTCCTATTAGATTTCTTATTCTATTCACAGGTGCTTAAAAATTTGCTCTTTTTCAAATTGGGACAGAATATTAGCTAGCTTGACAGTAATTGTAAAAGGTGTAGTAAAAGAATTGTTGAATTTTTATCTAAGTTAAGTCCCTTTGGAAATTTTCCACTAGAACCAATTTTGGCACTGCAAGGCAGGAAAACAAGGAAGTTGTGTTTTTCTCCACAGTACAACAGCATCAGGGATTTTCAATTGTAGGAAGTCATTATCTACTGAATTCTTAAGGTTCATTAATTAATTTTTTATTTTTAAATGAAAGATGTATGACATTCTCTTTTTTTGGTTTTTCAAGACAGGGTTTCTCTGTGTAGCTTTGGAACCTGTCCTGGAACTAGCTCTGTAGACCAGGCTGGCCTCAAACTAAGAGATCCGCCTGCCTCTGCCTCCCGAGTGCTGGGATTAAAAGCGTGCACCACTACTGACTGACCAGATGTATGACATTCTAATGGCTTGCAGGATTTCATGAAGATGAAATTGGTTTCCTACTTGCTATTTAGCAAAGGATGACCTTGAACTTCTGATCCTCCTGCCTTCCCCACCTCCCAAGTGCTGGGATTACAGACAAACTAGGCAAACTCTTATCAACTGAGCTATGTCCACAGCTCCCTGTGACATATTAAGTTAAAACTTAAATTTGAAATTTTTTTCCAACGGGGATATTTCAATCTTGGTGATAAGACAGAAGTTTCTATCAAACTAAATTTATAAAATTGTTGCTTGAGAGCTGGCTTAGCAGCCAGGATCCCTTCAAATGCTGCTTTTCAGAGGACCTGGGTTCAGTTCTCAGCACCCACATAGCAGCTCATAACAGTAATTCCAGTTCTCGGGGAATCCTCTTCTGCCCTTTGTGGGCATCAATGGTGTCATAAATGCACACACATGGGCAAACATACATATAAAAATAATCAAATCTTAAAATCACCATCAAAATAAAAAATTTACAAAACATTTTAGGGCTTTGATATACAAATGGAACTATAGTTGCACTTAATGTTCCAAATTAAACTGGAGATAAGCCTACAACCTCTAATTTAAATATTTCTGTCAAGCAAAACAAGATTAATTTTTTTTTCATTGCTTACCGCCTTCTCTTTTCGTTTCTGCTTAATCATGTTGGAAAGCACTTTTGCTCTAGATTGCCCCTCTCTGTCCAGCAGGTAGGCAGGTACTGCTCCTTGTGGAGTCTTTTCATCATTCTTTTGCTTGGTGTTTCTCTTTTCATGCATCTTAATACTATCAGAAAGGAAAGAGATTTGGAATGTGTTTGGCAGTTATCACCCAATAGGTGTTCCCTGATTCTGAGAGTTAGACAGGACCACTTACGTCTTTTTCATTTGTATTTTCTCAGCATGGCGCTGTTTATGGTAGAGTTTAGCCTTCAGGCCAATCATTTTTTTTGCCTTCTTTGAACGTTCATGGGCCTCCCGACTTTCTTTCTTTCTCTTTTTCTCATGGTAATCCAAACGATATCCATAGCGTTTACGGTGTAATTCAATATGCTCATTTTGTGGCTGAAATGATTCAAGAAATGTTACTTTAATTCTTGTAAGCACTGAAAGGATTATTCTAAGATTTTACATAGCATACAAAGTAGGTAAGACTCCCACACTACCCAAAGCTTTAATGCCTCTAGTACTATCACCATTCATAGGATACGTCTTTACACCTGCATGAATCCCAGGAAAAGCTTCTGTTCAGTGAAGGGATTTATCTACTAAAGAGATGAGGTAACTATAGGATTTCGTTATTTTTTCAATATTGTCAGGTTTTTTTTTATTAGAAACTTTGTCAGTTTTACCAAAACACAATTTACATAAAACAAAATTTGCCATTTTTAGTTGTAGGTTTGAGTTGTAATTTCTGACCTCTCATATATTTCTGTAACCATTAAAATCAAGATGGTGTATTTATTTTCCATCACCCCAAAACATTCCTTTGTGCTACTTAAGTCACCCTCCCCCCACCGCCATCTTCAACCCTGTGTATTTTTTTCTTTTCCTTTTGGTTTTTATTGATGGTTCTCTGTGCAGCCCTGGCTGTCCTGGAACTCAGAGATCTGCCTGCCTCTGCCTTCCTAGTGCTAGGATTAAAGGTGTGCCACCACACCACTGCCAGACACAACCTTATATTTCTTTCTTTTTTTTAAATATTTATTTATTTATTATGTATACAATGTTCTCTCTGTGTGTATGCCCACAGGCCAGAAGAGGACACCAGATCCCCTTACAGATGGTTGTGAGCCACCATGTGGTTGCTGGGAATTGAACTCAGGACCTTGGAAAGAGCAGGCAATGCTCTTAACCTCTGAGCCATCTCTCCAGCCCACAACCTTATATTTCTATGTTTACTTTTTTCCCAGTGAATGAAATCTACAGAACACATACCCTTTTGCATCTGGCTTCTTTCAACTGGAATATATCCTTGTGTATATCAGTGCTTAATTATTTTATAATGATGAGTAGTGTCCCGGTGTGAGAACATAAACTCATTTGTTTGTCCACTGCCCAGATGATGATTATTTGGCCTTTTCCCCCTTTGGTAGTTAGCAATAAAGTTTCAATAATATAGTTGAATTCAGATCTCTGTATGGAAATTGTCCACTGCCATAACTGTCTTCCGAAGTGGGTGTATCATTTTGCTCATTGTCAGTACTATATGGAATCCCTTTGCGTCCTAAATAGTTTCATTTTTATTGATTTAACAATGAAACTGATTAGCATTGATATGTTGAGCCCACAAAAAATGACAATGTAAGGTCAAGTCCAGTTTAGAGAATAATGCTAAGTAACAAAACTATTACAGATGGTGTTTTTAACTGCTAGCACATGAACTCTACAGCAAGTAAAGAAAGTTATAAGGCATTCCATTTTGTCGAGAAACATCCAGTAGAAAGAAAAGGGCAGGCAGTCTGGACAGATAGGTTTGGTTCCACAATTTATTCGCTGTTTGGCTTCTTGCAAAGACTATAGGTTTACTTACTGAGCAGTAAAATGGTGGGATGCCAATTAGTGCTTAATATACAGGGTTATTATCACAAGCCTCAACTCTGTTCCATCAGGCTGGCACTGTCGCCGCGCTAGTAAGACTTTAGTAGTGAACTGTCTCACTTGTGTTCCCCGTCCCGCAGCTAAGTTCCCAGAGTCTACATCCAACTCCACAGCGTCTCAGTTCCGCCTGCCACCGTCCTCCCCCGCGACAGTCCGAGCACGCTAACCCCCAAGTCCTCCGCCGCCAACGCCCGAGGCGGCCTCCTTACCATGACGACAGTCGCGGAACAGCCGTCCGCGACCTCCCAACTGCGAAAATCCTCTTCTGGGTCTCACTGACCCACGAGCACACTCCGCGCAAGGCGGAACGGGAAAGGGCAACACTTTAAGAACGCCGAGTGAAGCGTGAGCGCCACACAGCCGTTCCGAGTCGGCTCTCCGCTTCCAAAGCAGAAGAGCGGAAGTTGCTAGCAGGCGATATTTAGTTGACGCACCGCCGGAAATGGGAAAGTCTGCCCCCTACGGCACCGGAAGCCGGCAAGTCTGTACGTTCTCGTTCTTTCTGCAGGTATGAGGCTGCGGTAGGCAGTGGGGAGTTGTAACGTGAGGCCGTTGCCAGATTTGGAGTGGCGGGCGCCCCTTGCTCTCCTCAGTCTGGCAGAGAGAAGCTAGTCGTTGGTGCACAGTGCCTTGTGAATGCCACACTGCAGCGGCGACCCGGTCTTGTGCTGGGAACTGCTGACCTTGTGGCTGCGGCTGACAGCAGGCTCCAGAAGCCCAGCCCTTGATGCCTGCTGAATTAGGGATGTTTTTCTTCATCCTTTATCAAGGGCGACTCATTGTTTCTCTTGACACTAGTGTGTGCACAAGTAATTGAAATTTATTATGTAGAAAGTAAAACTGATGGGTCAACTGCCAGGAAAGCAAGAGATAATTTTTTTTTTTTTGTGGATTTAATTTCCTAAGTTCTTGAGGCCGGTTAGGACTGAGCGAACCTGGATGAACTGCCTCTCTATTGCCGGGAAGGAATTACCAAGAAAGCACATGTAATTAGGGTCAGTTTTACCTTTTAAAAAGTGTGTTTTGTGAATTTATTTTATTTTTTTTAGTGTGTATGAGTGTTTTGCGTACATGTATGTCTATGCACCACGAGCGTGCCCGGAGTCCTCGAGCCCAGAAGAAGGTGTTGGATTACAAAACATAGTTTGGAGTACTAGTGGGAATTGAACCTGGGTTCTCTGAAAGGACAGTCAATGCTTTTAACAGCTGAGCCATCTCATCAACCCCTAGTAGTCAAAAAAAAAAAAAATCCTAGTTAACGCTTAAGTTTGGAACTACCAATATTAAAAAGTATTCATCCCAAGAAGTCTTAGTGCTTGGATTCAGGTTTTTGTCTCCATAGTATTTTGTTTTGTTTGAGTTGCCTAGAGTCAGTGTGAGTGCAAGAATTGTCTTCATCCACCCTAGAAAGCAGTGCTAAACGCAATTCTTATTGAATGTGTGGAGTTAGTTCTCATGTTGTTTCTGTGATGCCGTAGATGAAAGATCAAAGTGCAGAGATTTCTAGTGGTTTATCTAAGAAGACTTGAGACTCCAGCAAGTTGTTTTTGGTTTTGGTTTTTTGGAGACAGAGTTTTTCTGTGTAACTTTGGAGCCTGTCCTGAAACTCACTGTAGACCAGGCTGTCGTCAAACTCACAGAGATTTGCCTGCCTCTACCTCCTGATGCTGGGATTAAAGGCATGCGCCACCACCTCCTGGCTTTTGTTTTGTTTTTTAAAGATTTTGTTGAAATGGGACATACATCCAGAAAATGGATATACTGTAGATGTATGTCTCAGTGGGTTTTCAGGCCCTATTTAATCAGCTTCTTATTTAATCAACTTCTTGATCAAGAAATTACTTTAACCTGAATCTAGGAATTGCTGTTCTTCCTGGCTGTCATTGCAGGCACCTTTACATACATACATGGCATACATTCACAGGGACACACATAAATAAAAATAAGGTTTAAATCTTATAAAATTACTTGTGCCTGAAATTACTTGTAGTGAAAATAAGATTGATAGCTTGAGATCTTCTATTCAGCATAAAGAGGAAAAGAAAAAGTAATATTAAGGGCTAATGCTAATAAGGAACATTTTGGTCTAACTCATACATCATAGTTTTCTAAACGATGTTTGATACGGCACAGATTTGAAATGAAATGTATTATTTAGGAGACATCAATACAAAATAATAAATATTGTATGCAGATAATATATTTGGAATATATTCTGGGAACATCATTTCTTCAGGGAGGGAAGATAGGAAGCAAGTTCTCACACAATTAGTTCAATACTAAGAACTTAATTTAAGGTTATTTATTTATTTATTTTTGTTTTTTTTTCGAGACAGGGTTTCTCTGTAGCTCCTCCCAGGTCTGTCTTCCACCTTAACAGTCAAGTTCATCTTTTTAGCTTCAAAAAGATTTCTTTTTATGATTTCTAATTATGTGTATGTGTGGGTGCGTGCACATGAGTGCTAGTGCTTGTGGAGGCGATGGAGGTCAGAGATGTCAGAATTCCTTAGCTGGGGTCACCGACATTTGTGAGCTGCCAGTGTGGCTGCTGTGCTTCGAACTGAATGTCCTCTCAAGAGCAGCATGCGCTCTTAACGCTGAGCAGTCTCCAGCCCGGCCTGCATACTCTCCATTGAAATTGTTAAACCAGTTGTTTGATCATTAACAATTTAGCAATGATAATATAGTCTTCTTTCTTTCCAGTGTTTGAGACAGGGTTTCTCTGTGTAACCAACGTGGCCATCCTGAAACTCACTATGTAGACCAGGTTGGCCTTGGATGCACAGGGATCCAGCTGCTTCTGCTGGGATTAAAGGTGCTAACCACCACTTCTGGGCAACTGATAATAAATATATCCTCTGCCAGTGCCTGGATATATACCGGGGGCATGCCTACTTTGCCTACCTCACAACCAAATGTGAATATTGAAAAGCATAGTTAATGCCTTAGTTTATTATGAAAGTAATTTTGACCTTCAAAATGTCTTGACAATCCTCAAGAGTCTGTAGATCACTGTTGGAGAATCAGTGAAATTACAAGGTGTTTTTCAATCTACTGACATTTTGTTCTTTGTCAGAGGCGGATGTGCTGTGGATTCTAGAATATTTAGCAGTGTCCATCTACTGGATGCCACTTGTGCCTCTGAAAATCATTGCCTGTGGCTCTGAGCAAGGATAGTGTGTAGACTTCTCTGTTGCCAGCACTGGATCAGTGACTACAGGCAAGTGTCTGTTCCTTAGTAACCAGAAACAAAAGATGAGGCCTGAACCTCGACAGTTGGAGTAGATTCAGGATACACCTAGGAAATAAAGTGGAATGCCTTGGTGACTTCTGAAATTCCATGCAGGTTTCACAGGAAGACAAGCTGAGCATGACTCTCTCCCTGTACAGCTGATTTCTCATCATCTCCCCAGGTCCTAGGGTATTAGATCCTCTGTCTTCTTGCCACACTTTTGATGTTGTGAAGACTTGGTAAATATGGCTTTAGGGGCCTGTTGCAGTAATGAGGTCAAACCTGGGACCTTAGACATACTAGCAAGTACTCCACCTGGGGCGCCCTCGGGGTTAGTGAGTACAAGCCAAGGTGCTCTGGTTCTGCAACCACACAAAGACAGCTGACTTTGCTATATCTTTGTTTTATTTTCATATATTTATTATTAAAAATTAGAATATGTAGATTTTTGTTGTCAATGAGAAACTACCAAGTTTTCATGAGAATGTTTATCATAGTTTATTGTGTATGTTTAAAGTATATTTTTATTTTTTAATTTTTAAAAATTTAATAGTTGTGCTTCAATTATATCTTGAAGTTTTGTTTGTCTTTTTTTGTTTTTTCTTTGAGATAGGATCTTACTATGTAGCCCAGGTGGCCTCAAATTTGGCAGCCCTCCTCCCTCTGCTTCCTTAGCGCTGGGATTACAGGTATCCACCAAACTCTCAGCTTTTCATATCTTCATTTAAGAATTAAGGTGTCTTTTTTAAAAGGAGGACAATTTAAGCTTAACTGTATATTTCATTTCATATGAAGTTTTACTTTTTAAATTATGTATTGAGTTTTTGGTAGCTAGAATTATTCCTATTTTCTAAAATATGCAATCCTATTTCTTATGTATGCCTTACTGATTTAATGCATATATTTAGTTTTATAATTGTGTTTGTTTCTTTTTCAGGATAAGATATTAGAGGGTCACAGTATTTACCAGCTGGAGGATGTTTGCAGTGAATAATCAGAAAGTATTCAGTGTACATCTTAATGTAAGTGTTTCTTACAAAAGGATTGTACTTGGGCCTTTTGTCCATTGGGCTCTGGGGATCACATTCCTCCTCAGCCAGGGCTAGAGGCCAAGATGATCTGTGAGTGGCATCGTCGTCAGGGCTGCCATGAGCGGGCAGCCTTGTTTTCCGGCCTCAGACATTGAAAAAAAAAAAAAAAGGATTGTACTTTAGTAGCCCAATTGTTTTTTTTCCCCAGAGGCTTAGTATAACTTATTCTAAATTTAGTTTGGCCAAACTACCTTAATTTAATTGGAAATGCAAATTAAAATTTTCCTTAGCAGTGAAAAGAGTGAGCAGCAGACAAAATGCTATTCTCATGAGGTAATAAAGAGGAAGGCTGATGTTTTCTGTCTCTTCCAAGAATGGCAGTTCTGAATGCTCACCCTTACACTGCCAACTAAGAATGTGCTGTACATATATTCAAATATCTGTAAATTAAAACATCTGTGAAGTAAAGTTTTATGACATCATATCAAGATATGACATTATTGTTAAATAGTTAAGGTAAAACTCTGCAGAGCTGTTGGAAAACAACTTCTGAGGTATTTTTGATATCTGCCTCATGTTTCATGAACAGTGTCTTCCTGTAAGCTTTATCCTAACACTAAAGCTCTATGTATTATTTTGTAAATGCAGATTTTCATTATGTATTACAAATATGAATCGTCAAACAGAATCATGCCCTCTGTCACTCACAAGACTGTGCTTGTCTGGGCTGCTTCGCCTCCAGCAGTGATCCAGCAGGGAGCCTTGGTGAAACCCAGACACCGCATGGCTGCATGTCGTGTCCTGAGGCTGCCCATTTCGTTCACTAGTTTAAAATTACTTGAGTGGTATTCTACGTAATATATGTTCCTCTTGAACAAGGATATGGAGAGATTGTTGTTAGTGGTGGATGCTGCCCTCAAACTCAGGGTCTCCCCTCAGTCTCCTGATGGCTGGGATTACAGGATGTGGCACTGCACCCACAAGATGTCTTTCCTGGATTCCATATTTGTTGTGTATGATCAAATAAAATTAATGTCAGTTTCTTTTTTTTCCCTCATAGACCATGTGCTACTGTAAACTAAAAGCAATTTTAAAAAGATCAAAGACTCGGGTGCCTCTTCGAAGAAACTACAGCTCCCCAGCAGGTACAGATGTTCTACTAGAAATGCTTGCTTTCTCCTCTCGCGCGTTGTCTCTCACTTTCTGTTTCGTAACCTTGCCTCTTAGAGGTTTCCAACCTATTTTAACTTTTGGCTATTTCCTCGAGGTTATTAGCTGAGAGTGTTTTGGTAGATGTGATGGGAGATTGGTCTTCGTGGAGTCATTGCTCCCCCTCTGCTGGGTGGGCCTCTGATGAGCTGAACCAAGGGAGGCAGCTGACTCATTTAGTGAGTCTGCTGGTGGAGTACCCTCCTGAGAAATACTTTGTGGTTCATTGCTGAGTTTTAAATTAACATGCTTTATGTGGAGAGATTTTAATAAAAATAATTTATTTTGAGGAGTTTTAGAAGAAGTTAGGTACATATTTATCTGGAATAGCTTAAATTGGAGGCCTGACTACTAGGATCCGGAATATCTGGGAGCTGACCACCTCATTCCTCATGCCTTCCTGTGTTTGAAGGGAGCAAGCATACAGTACTGAATGGAAATAGCTTAATTTTTTTGCTGTTCTTATTAGCATATTCATCATGTGCAGTGATGGAATGCCATAATACTGCCTGGCTGCTGGTCTACTCACGGCTGCATTGTCAGTCTGTACAAAGGCTTTGGTGTTTCGCCCCTGCTGGTTTAACTGTGGCATGTACTTTGTCTTTCGGTCTTTAGAGTGCCCAGTGGACTTTTGAAAATCTAAAACTTTTTATTTTAGAAATTTAGAAGACTTTGTTTAAAGAGCATAAAAATAGAAATTAAATTCACAAGTAAAATTGCTGTAGCTTCAGTATAATTACAGAAACTTAGGCTCACGTGGAGTGATCTTTGTGAACATTTTTTCTGTAAGAAATACTATGTGGATGTTGGGGGGGCTCACATTAAAATTCTAGTGCTAGCAAGGCTGAAGCAGAAGGTCCCGAGAGTCTAACTCTCAGTAGGACTATATATAAGACTCTGCTTCAAAACCTTAAATAAAAGCTGGGTGCAGTGGTGCACACCTTTAACCCCAGAATTCAGAGACAGGAGGATTTCAGTGAGTTTGAGGCCAACCTGATCTACATAGCAGTCTAACCAAGACTTCAGAGTGAGACACTGCCTCAAAAACAAGCCAAGCAAAGAAAATATTAAATAAGTAAAATAAAAAAGAAACACTACTTAGCTACTTAGAATTCGTATCTTTCAGCTGCTGCTGACTGATTGCACACAGGTATCTGTCTCTAAAAGGCCCTGGGCCTGGCATAGTTGAGGGAAGGGAGGGTCTAACCTGCATGGCAGCTCACAATCACTTGGTCACTCAGAATGCTTCAAGACTTGGAAATGCAGGCTTACATGACTGCACATTTACATTTCCCTTTTATATAGGACCTGCTGTTACCTTCTATCTTATTGTTATGAACACTGGTTCTACAGTTCTGTAAACAGAGGTGTAATAAGTAACTGACTGAAATAGATCTGTATTTTTTAAGGGTTTAATTTAGAGACTGATGTTCATAGGTGTGGACTGAAAAAAGAAATTGTTATCCAGAATTTCTATTATCAATCATAACTTTCCTATGTTGGTAGGAAATAAATCTTAAATAACTGCATTTTATTTCGCTTGATTTGGAGTGTTGTATTTGTTTTAAATTATTTTGTATGTTTTCATTTATAAATTAAAGAAAAATTTTTATTAATCTAATAGTTTAATTTCAATTCTCTTCCTGTTAGGTGTAATAGGAAATGATGTCAAATCCCTTCACTCCATCATTAGCCCTCCTGTGGCAAAGTAAGTACTATCATTATACTGGCTCCCAACAGGCTGCGGAGAAGCTGACAAGTCTTTGTCGGCGGCTTTTCTGGTGACTTATGCAATTTCTGTTGTGAATGTTAGTATGGATCTCAAAAGATATTTTTCTCAGTTAAGTGTTAAGATTTTTTAATGTAACAAATGAATATAAGAGAGTCTTGATATTGTAATTAGCCCTTTTTTATTTAGCTCTTTTGTCTGATAATGTGGTAGGATACATTGACGGGAATGAGTGGGTACAAGAGAGGGTGGTGCGGGGCGAATGTGACCAAAGTACATCGCATGCGTATATGAGAATGTCATAGTATAGTCTATTACTGTGTATACTTAATATACGTATATGAGAATGTCATAGTATACTCTCTCACCATATATACTTAATATATGCTGAAAATAAGCCGAAATATGCTTTGCATTTATCTTTGTACATAATTGCATATACTGTATACTAATCACCTGTAGGTTCTCACAGCATAGATATTTGGTTGTAATATGTGCCTCATAATGCATGACTTTTCCCCTTTTAAACAGAATCCGTAATATTGGAATTATGGCTCATATTGATGCAGGCAAAACTACCACCACAGAACGAATTCTGTACTATTCTGGATACACAAGATCATTGGGAGGTTAGAATGGATTCCTCCTCTCCCCAACCCCTCTAGCAAAAGAAGTCAGCTAGAGTATGGCCTGGAGTCTCTGGTGTCTAAACGACAACATTAAGATAAGGTAGCTGGCAACACCACCAGAATGTCTTCTGAGATTTAGCTGAGCATTGAGCGTTCCTAAGGCCATCATGGGCCTCACTTGACATTGGCCTACTGGAAGTTTGTAGGACAGAACCACATTTAGCATTAGATGTTTCTTTTTGCAAGAGCCCCCTAGTGGAGATAGCAATTACTTTCCAGGGTTCATATAAGGGACATTCCATACCCTACTCAGGGAAGCCCAAGGTATGTAACTCTAAACTGTATTTCTTTAAGGAGGTAGATTTTACTTTGGGGTGTGTGTGTGTGTGTGTGTGTGTGTGTGTGTGTGTGTGTGTGTGTTGAAATAATTCTATTGTTGACATACTAGCCACATAGTTGACATACTTTTATTGTCTGATTTTTTTAGAAGAAAAAATCTGGAAAGTTAAGGTCAAATTCTCTATGGAAAAGGAGACGGTTTTGTTAATCCTTCGCTTAGTTGTATTTTCTGAGGTCTGCAGTTTACTGCTCAATTGAAGCTTTTGCAGATTGTAGTTAATTCTCAGTCGGCCTGCATTTATTCCCCAGAGCAGCTTTTTGCTTTTATTTGCACCAATTTTTCTGTGCATTCTTTATTTATTTTTGACAATTTGTATGTGCATATAATGTATTTTCAGCCATCATTACCTTCTCTTGTCCCCCACACTCCCTTCTTCCCAACTGGTCCGTTTTTCATTTTCATGTCTGTATGTGTGAGTAGATCTGTGTGAGTGTCTGATTGTGTGTGAGAGAGTGAGAGTGTGTGTGTGTCACTGAATTTAAAAGGGTGAACTTGCATGAGTGTAGATCAGGGGTTACTGCTTCTGAGTAGTGCTGGCTGAGTCTCATGGTGGGTTCAGGAGGTCTAGTTTATGATATGTTCCTCTTGGGAGCCATTTTCCTAGACACTTGGAAACATAAGAGACTAGATGCTTAATAGACAAAAAGAACATTAAGATTAGAGTCTTCGTGATGGTATGTTGGGGACTGCAAACCACCAGACCCTGAATTTCTTGTAAACAACTTGTTTTCCTCTGCTGTGAGCAGCCTGCAGCTGCTCTGAGCACGAGACCCTGATGGCAGGGGAGTGGGTTCTGATGAGTCTGCAGCTGAAAGCTCCTGAGAGCTGGGGTGTGGCCAGGGCACTATATAAGCTGCCCCTGAGCACACTAAAGTGAGCATTCTTGGCACTCTTCTATCAAGGATGACCCGTGTCCCCATGTCTCTGTCTGTCTGCGTGTATTTTTAAGTCTCCAGCTTAGTTCCCAGCTTGTGTACTGTCCCTTAGTGCAGGCACTACAGTGGTAGATTCTTAAACATAGGGCTGCCTAGGTTTTTCATTATTTATGTGATGACTGACGGCAAGAAGTGGGGCATTGTCAGGCTTCTGTTGTTTCATAAGTCTGATGATAATCCCTTCCCTCATACCCCCATTTTGGATACCTGAAGTGAGTGTATAGTTTCTAAGTTTCAATTTTTTAAAATTATAGGAAGTTTTAACCAGTTTCAAGTTTATTTATAGTCAATATAGGTTAAGTATCCTCAATCCATATGATTGAGATATCAGAACTATTTCAGCTATAATTTTTAGTTTAGGAATGTTTACATGAACTTCACTAATTGGGAATTTCTATTCTGGAAAATCTAAAACTGGAAATTGGAAATACTTCAAAATTTGAAGCATCAAGAACTGATTTTAGATTTCTGTAGGCCTAGAAACTAATTTACACAGCTCTGGTGACCACAGTTTGCTTTGTTGATTAGAATAATAGTCATTATTGTGGGGGCCCACAATTTTGAATCCATTCCATCTTGATTAAAGGTCACAGAGTTCAAACCTATTCTTGCTCCTCAAGGACGAAGGACAGGATGTTTGACCAAAGGTGTAGCTACTGGATGCTTTGCTCCTCAAAAGCAGACAGCAGGATGTTTGACTTAGGGCATGGTTACTGGGTGTTTTGAGATGTAAGGAGGTAATTATACTTTTTCTTTGTATCATGGAAGTCTTGTGCCCTCATCTTTTGATTGGGTGTAGAAGGATGGTGAGAAATAAACTTGACTTTTTGCTCCAGTATCCACTGGAAGCCCTCCCGACTCTATCTTCTGTCCCTTGTCTATTTCCTTTCTCAATCCACACTCCACTTCTCAGGAATGTATGAACCAGTCAGGCCAGATCTGACACATAATAACATGAGCCAGATTTGGTGGTACACATTTTTATCCCTGCACTAGGGAGGCAGAGGCAGGCACGTCTCTGTGAGTTCAGAACTAGCCTGTACTACATAGTTAATTCCAGGCCAGTCAAGGCTACACAGTCTGGCTAGACTTCTTGCCAATACATTTTTTTATTTTCCTTGATGTTGGTGTTTAAATTGTGTGTGTGTGTGTGTGTAAGGGGAAGTTAGATGATATTTTAGGGGGTCTTCTGTTGATGTAAGTGATAGTATAATGGTGTGATAGCTTACATTCATGGATTTTGAATAGTAAAAATAACTTTCATGTATTATTGCCTATAAATTTAATCAGAATAAAAGTTGTAATTCATCTGAGTGAACTCTCAGGATTAAGTTCAAGCCTGAGTTTATACTGAGAACTCTTCCTCAGGCCTTATTTACAGACAAATCCTTGCTCTGGAACACTGAGCAGTGAGAGCCCTCGTAAAGGGTAACTTGCCCTGGAAAGAATGTTTCTAGTCCTCACGCAGTGTGTGGCTGCTCCATAGCATTATCGAGCTGGACTAGATCTTATATCCTGCCTCATTTTGTTCTTGTGACACCTAGGTAAGGGTAATTCTGTTACATTAGCTTTACTGTACAGACCAGATAATCAGGATGTAGGAATAAAGTTAGGAGGGAGTTTAACCGGTGGACTTTGAACTGCTCTATCCCCTAGCCAGGGTTGTGGGGCACAGAAGGAATAAGAAACATCAAGCTAGAATTAAAGGAAATGAGTGTGTGGTTAATAGAATTTTTTAAAAAAGAAACTTCCATGAAATCATTCTAAAAAGGATTTTTCTCTTATGAGGATTTTATATAGAGATAAAATCTAGATATTACACTGAATATTTGGGGGAGCTTTTATTCTCAGAGTAGATTACGCTATCCCAGGGAAGTAAGTTATTGAGAACAAGTAAGATGCCCTTGTTTTGAACTAAACCATGGTCTGTTTTTCCTGATTAGATGTCGATGATGGAGACACAGTGACAGATTTCATGGCTCAAGAGCGAGAAAGAGGCATTACCATCCAGTCGGCAGCTGTGACCTTTGACTGGAAAGGGTATAGAGTCAATTTGATTGACACACCAGGTATGATGCAGGTTCACCGTGCAGAGACTCCATGTCTCTCAGGCTGTTTCTTTGGTTTTGTTTTTTAAATCATGATGAAAACATTAAATTTCCTATCTAAGCCATTTTTAAGCATACAGCTCCATCGTATTTATCATATTTATGTCACTGTGAAACAGATCTCAGAGCATTTCATCTTCTAGAACTGAAACTCTGTACTTAGTAAACAACTGCTTTTCTTGCCCCTCTCCTCACCGTTCTACTTTCTGCATCTGGTCACATGACTTCTGGTCACATGACTGCTCTAGACAGCTGTATGTGGAGTCACACTGTATTTATCATTTTGTGATTGGTTTACTTCAATTAGTGTTAAGTCTTTGTGTAGCACGAATTCTGTCCCTATAAGGCTGTGTGTATACTTGTCTCTCACTGTACTTGAGGAATTGATTTTAGGATTCTCTGTAGAGCTAAAACTTTTAGATGCTTAAATCACTTGTAGAATGGTGTAATATTTCCGTAAACCATATACATTCTCTTGTATGCCTACAGCATCAAATATGTGACTGCTATGTAAATACTTGTTATTCTTTATTATTTAAAGAACAACGACATGAAAAACAGTCTGTCCATGTTTAGAATAGACACCTTTTTTTCTAAATCTTCTCCAGATTCAGAGCCTGTGGGGTGGAGGTGACTGCACCACGTTTGTATATTTGTTCACTGTGATCGGGGGTGTACAAATAGCTTCATGGAACACTTCTCTCAGGTGTTCACCATCTTTTGTGGTCGCGAGGGATGTTGCTGACCCGTGTGATTGTTTTCTGTTTCAAGATTTTAAGTACTTATTATTCTTATCTTAGGTCATGTGGACTTTACCTTGGAGGTTGAACGCTGCTTGAGAGTGTTGGATGGTGCAGTGGCCGTGTTTGATGCCTCTGCTGGTGTAGAGGTAAAATACTGCCAAAGTGAAGACAGAACAACAGTGCAATTTTTTTAAAATGTAGAATGTATCAGAATTAGTTAATTATATCCCTTTATTTGGTAAATCCATATAAATCAGGTTGTGGTTAAAGGAAGTTGGAATTTAATAATAAAATGTAATCTCAGATTTTTCACAATGGAAGGAAAGTGTTTGTTTGTTTGTTTGTTTGTTTGTTTTTTAAGAAAATATGATGGTTGATATTGGGAACTGTGAGGAGTCTGAGATTCTGTTGACTTTATTAGTCTATATGTAGTTATTACCTGAGTCATCAATCCCCAAGTCCTAGTCTAGAGAATAGCATGAAAGGAGCCGGGGCCAGCTGGTCCTGTGACAGGGTAAGAAGGATGGAAGTATTTTACAGTGTGCTGTTAACATTCCTCCATGTTGCTCTGGAGGACTGACACTGTATTTTCTAGGGCAGTCAGCAAACCCACTTTTCCTTCCCAAGGGAGACACTATATCACAGACTGCTATAAAAACGTATCTTTTCTTTTTTTAAAAAAATCTATTTATTATGTATACAGTATTCTGTCTGTATGTGTGCTTGTAGGCCAGAAGAGGGCACGAGATCTCATTACAGATGGTTGTGAGCCACCATGTGTTGCTGGGAACTGAACTCAGGACCTTTGGAAGAGCAGGCAGTGCTCTTAACCGCTGAGCCATCTCTCCAGCCCATAGAAGTGACTCTTAAAAGAGGGGAGCCGGCATTTCTAGCAGTGCAGTCACATGAATCATTGTCTCCTCACAGTTACTATAAAGACTCTTAGGAGGGGCTGTAACTCATTTCTAGAGCATTTTGCCTAGCTTGTATGGGTGCCTAGGTTCAAGTACAGCATTACTACCCTCTCCCCCCTACACACAGGTATGCATTAAAGTCTTTGAGTCAGTTTTGAAAATGGATATTTTAATAGAGCTTATTGCTAGTAGTTTGGCACCACCTTGTCTGTGCTGTGTTTGCAGGGGTAAGTTATTCTATCTTTAGTGAGTGTGCTCTTCAAAATTGGCCTTGGTGAATATATAATCCATTTAAGTTCTTCTGCCCTTAAATTATCTTAATTAAGTTATAAAAATCAGTATCTTAAAAATGGGACAAAATTGATGCAATGTGATAGTTGGAGAAAGATACAACAATGTGTAGTCCTCCCAAAATGTCCCATGTCTTATCATGAGACAGTGATTAGTGAGAGCTAAGTAAAAAGATTTGGCAGGGAGAACTACTTACAAGTTTCCAGAAATTTAAAAATAATATCTTTTAATATAAGCATCATAAATGATAAAAGGGAATCATGAAGAACTATGCTAGATTAAAATATTTAAATAATCATGACAACTGAATGTATTTTAAATCCTTGGTTGGATCCTAAATTTAAAATGAATTAGAAGACATCATTGAAGTGAACAGAAATTTGAATTATATACTACATGAAAATATATGTTGAGCTTAAAATTTTCTAAATGTGACCATTATAATTGGTCACATTATAATTTAGGAGAAAATCATCATTTGGAAATAAATGCAGCTGTCTCCATATCTCCTGCTTACTGTTGTGACCCAGCCATATCCACCTGTGTACTTGGTCCATGTGCAGGGCTGTTGAGGAGTTACCAACATAAGATACCAATTTGTGTCCTGAAGAGTGACTAAGATTCAGAAGAGCAAGGCTAATACTGATGAGGGTGGTTCCGCTGGAGCTCACGGCTGCTGACAGGACAGTAAAACCATGCAGTAACTAGAAGGCTATTGGACAGTTTCTTATAAAGTTATAGATACACCTATGCTGAAACCCTTAATTCAGCTGGGCAGTGGCGGCGCAGACCTTTAATCCCAGCATGCGCGAGGAAGAGGCAGGTGGATACCTGTGAGTTTGAGGCCAGCCTGGTCTACAGAGCAAGTTCCAGGACAACCAGGGCTACACAGAGAAACCCTGTCTCGAAAAAATCAAAAACCAAACCAAACAAAACAAATAAACCAATAATTGTGTTTCTTTTTCCAAGGGAGTGGAAACATTAGCTAGAGATTTGTTCAGAATGTTTGTAGTGGCTAGACTCAACAGCAGCTGTAAGCTAGCAGCTACCTAATACATATCCACTGACTGATCTGTCAGAGAAGCTGATCTGTCTGCATAAAGGTGGACAAATCAGAAGCTATCCTAGTTATATGAAACTCATGAACCTGTGGCGATGTTTCAGACCTGGTTTCTTAGAGAGGGCTGGAGAGGCATGAGAAAACTCCCTGGAGAGACAGGATCTTCTATGTATTGATAGTAGTTACAAGGTCTGTTTCTTATCAAAGCTCCATCTGTATGCTTAGTCTGTGGATTTTGTCATGTAAAATTTTACCTAAACAAATAAAAAACTGAGCGTTAGACTTTTCATGTTTCTCAGGCCTTATGACTCTTTGAGGTACAGGTGTTTTAATAGAGTCAGACTATATTTATAAATTGAGTGTGTGCAGAAATGAAATCAATTAAACAAAAAGCATATATGAATTACTTATAAATATTGATACTAGTCTGTTCGTCACACTTTACCCTATTGGTTCATGAACATTCAAATATTCCATTGAAATATGTGATTTTTATCATAATAGTGGTTTTATTCTTATTCGTCAAGACAAAACCCTTCTTACCTATCAAAAACTGACATTAGGAGATGTGGTGGCGCACCTGTAATCTCAGCGCTTGGGAGGTGGATGCAGGAGGATCACTAGTTCAGGATCAGCCTTGCTGTGTAGTGAGTTCCAGGCCAGCCTAGGCTTCGTGAGACCTGACTTAAAAAATAATAATTAGAACAAATTACTTCATTATTTCATACTGGGAAAAATAAAGTGAAAGAAGAAGTAGACCTGGTTGCATCTTAAGTTCCCTTCTGTGAGCTCTAGGTATCGCCCGAATTTTAAATCACTTTGTGTGTGAACCTAGTTCACCTAAAGCAGCGTGAATCTTCCAGTCGCTCCATCTACTCCCTGTTGTGTTCTCTGGGAGTGAGGAGGCCCCTGGAAATGCACTGTAGGGTTCTGATTCCCTGCCGTCATCAGGCCCAGTTCCATATCACACAGATTCATGGATCTGTTCACCCCATGTCTCACAACAACCACAAGCGTTTTCTCTAATTTTTGCTTTAGGCCCAGACTCTTACCGTGTGGAAGCAAGCTGACAAACATAAGGTACCCCGGATCTGTTTTTTAAACAAGATGGACAAAACTGGAGCAAGGTGTGTGAAGAGTGCTGCTAGGCTGTTAGGGCTACAGAACACTAACAAGTCACGGCTTATAGCTTAAGTTTCGAAAAAGCAATTCTAAAGTATAATTATGCACTATATATATATATATATATATTACATAATAATAAAGTATATTTTATAAAATCTTAAAAACCAATTTAAAATAATTTCAAACAGCTCATTGTAGTTGAGATTGATCGAGATCTGCTAAGTGGGGAGCCGTCTGGATTTGTGTAGCACGTTTTGTGGAATCCTGGTGGAGTGCAGACTCCTGCTGTTCGTGTGAATTCTCTGTGGAGCCCTATAGTATACCGTAACCTTTGCTCCCGAAGGCTCCTGTGACCTCCTGATTGCTAGAGTTAGAGAGCAGGTTTGTTTCTTGTAGTTAACTCAGAGAATGGGGTCTTTCTGTGTCTTCTGATTTTCCTTAGTTAGAACTGGGAAGGAGAACGTCCTGTATGGAAAGCAGATGTTGCTGCTGAGATGCAGTGCCCATACACCAAGGCTTATTCAGAGTGGCAAACCAGAATGGATACATTTACTGGCAACAGAGAATCAAAAATATAAAAGGAGTTGATGAAATGTGAGCAAGAATGAATCAAAAATGTTTAGGATTGTGGAGGAAATGTAGGAAGCCATCTGAGTCAGTGATGGGAGTGTGATAAAAGTTAAACTGTCCAAGGCCACAGTCATGTGCTTTGTGGTTATGTGACTTCTTTGGCTACCCTGTTTAAAATACCCTTGATTGCTAATGGCACAGCAACCTGAAACATTTGCTAGACTTTGAACCTTTCCTATATGAAATCTCTTGTAGTCCATAGAAGTACTCACTGACTGCCTTAAGTCTGTAGTGATGAAGTCAATGCCTGGATTCTAGGCTAGTTCTCAGAGAAGTTGGGGCCAGAGTGATGTGCATGTATATATAACTGTATCATATGTACTATAGGGAGCCACCCCATAGCATAGAAACAAGCATTGTAGCATATGATACTAATACCTAAGATTAAAACACACAGCATTAGTCAGTCTGGCTCTTGGAAGAAAATCAATACTGTATAGCTGTATACAGAAGAAAGAATACTTAATTCAAATAAAGTCTTTAACTCTAATTAATTATCTGTGTGACTTTCATCTTAGTATCACTATTTGGTTATGTGAAGTTTTCAATAAAAATTCCTTAAACTTCCCCATGTTGATAATGGTAAATATTCAATTGCTATTACCATGTTTATTTAAGATACTGCCCTGTGGGAAACTGACATAGTGAGCATTATGGTTAAGGGTTATTTTAGAAAACATTCCTTAGCCCAGAAGTTTTTACCGTTTCTAATGCATGGTCTTGTTTTTGACAGTTTTAACTATGCCGTCGAAAGCATCAGGGAGAAGTTAAAGGCAAAGCCTCTGATTTTACAGGTAATTGGTTAATTGATATAACATTCTACTATTTCCTCATCAATTTATTGTGGCATGCACACTTTACAACAAACTCGAACTGTGAGTACAGCTGAAGGTTTTGGTTGAAATGGTCAAGTAAGATATCTTGTCACCTGCGGGGTTCTGCATTCGTATTGTCGCTGACTTACAGCTGCCGATTGGTGAAGCCAGAACTTTCCAAGGAGTGGTGGATGTAGTAAACAAAGAAAAACTTCTCTGGAATTCTAACTCTGGTGATGGAAAAGACTTTGAGAGAAAACCCCTCTTGGAAACAAGTGATCCGGAATTGCTGAAGGAGACTATTGAAGCAAGGAACTCCTTAATTGAACAAGTAAATACTTTATTTTAAAATTCTGTAAGTGTTTAGCAGCTTTTTGACATATTTATTGTGAAACTTTATATAAAATTACCTATGTACTATGTAAAATACAGTGAATGAAGATAGACGCTGATGTGTCCGCCACCCATAAGCAAGTAAAATAACTTTTTTTAAAAGTAGTCCTTAGTGGCCTGGAACTTGCCTTATAGATCAGGCAGCCTTGAATTCACAAATCTGCCTGCTTCAGCCTTCCAAGTACTGGGGTTCAAAGATGTATGCACCATGCCTAGTCTAGACCTGCTTCTCTAGATCAGTAAGGCATAGAAAGAGCAGGAGCAAAATTGTCATCGATCATGAATTGGACACATAATTCGTTTCTTTTTGAGTGTGTGTGTACAATTTTAATACTAAACAGTTGTAGGCATAAAGAAGGATCTTACAGTCTACGTGGGTAGCCAAAACACAATTGCACATACTGATTTTTACTAGGACATGATAGTGTATGATGTACATAAAGAGAATGAGGTATCAGTGGCTAATACAGGTGCCGATTATATGTGTATATAAATATCTTTGTGTGAATGTATGAGTGTGGAGACAATTTAGAGAACAAGATCATCCCAAGTACATTAGCTACCAAAGCCAAACAAACAAAAAAGAACCCCCACAAGTGTGTCCTAAAGAGTGTAGAGCAAAGGTAATCCTTGTATACTGCAGTAGGAATACGGTGACAGGGCTACAATAGAAAGCCATGTAGGAAGGCCTGGATACATGGCAGTAGTTAAGAGTACTTGTTTTTGCAGACGACCCAGGTTTGAGTCCCAGCACCAACACAGAGGCTAACAACTGTTTGTAACTCCAGTTCCAAAGTATCTGACACTTTCTTCTGACCTGTGCAAACACCAAGCACACATGTGTTGCACATACATACATGCAGACAAAATACTCGTACTCATAAACTAAACATAAATTCATCCTTAATAAAAAAAGAAACCATATGGGAAAACACCAAATGGAGGCTTCTCCAGACATTCCTTTTGGGTTATGTGTATCCAAAGAATTAAAAGCAGTGTCTTGAAACCACCCCCATTCCTAGTAGCATTATTCATAGTAGACAAATGCAGAAACACCCCAACAGTTAACAGATTAACATTAACCGATGAGTAGATCAACAAAATGTAGACTGTTACTCTCCCCTGAAAGGGAGGGGAGTTCTGCCATCAGGGGCATCAGTGCTCAGTGAAGTGCAGGGGCTACAAGTGCTGCGTGCCTACTTTGTGAGGGATCCAGAAACACTGAGTGGAACGGTGACTGTCAGGGGGGGGGGGGGGGGGGGGGGGGGGGGGCAGCGTTGTGTAGGCCTTGGGTGTACAAATTGAAACACTTCAGGGTTGCATAATAATAATACTAATGAGGGTACTACTACCGAGCTATGCCTAAAAGTGATTATGATAGCAAACTGCTTTAAAAAGGCTATGATGGTAAAACTTGAACCACAGTTATATTTATCTTAAACCGAGACCGTAAGTGTGAACTAGAATCAGCGTTCTGTGTCTTAGGGCATCTTTGGATAATAATAGCTATTAATTGTGGGCCACTTACTGCATGTTCTGAAAGTATGATTAAAAAGTATGAATAGAGGGGCTGGAGAGATGGCTCAGCGGTTAAGAGCATTGCCTGCTGTTCCAAAGGTCCTGAGTTCAATTCCCAGCAACCACATGGTGACTCACAGTCATCTGTAATGAGGTCTGGTGCCCTCTTCTGGCCTTCAGGCATACACGCAGACAGAATATTGTATACATAATAAATAAATAAACATTTAAAAAAAAAGTATGAATAGATCCTCACTACAGCCCTAAGAGGAAAGTGACCTGGACCAGCAGGTTCATCTTCAGTGGCAGGGTCCTGAGGGGATGGTGCCATGGCATGAGAAACAGAGAAGATAAAAACTGGGCTTGTGAGGCCTGCACAAATTTTGTCTTATGCTACACAAGTTTATTAAGAAGTACAGCATTTATATACTGCTTGCAGGGTGAAAAATGGGCAACGTCAGCAGAGAGCTAAGTCAGTGTTGGCAAAGAGAGCACAGGGTACCTCAGACACAGCTGCCTTAGGACTGATAACCACAGCACAGGGGGAAGAATCGGGTCCCCAGAAGCTGCAACCTTGACTCCTGAGGCACTGGCTCTGGCATCAGGCTGGCCTTGCCAAGTCCACTCCAGGACAAGGACACAGAACAGTTTCCTTTGTCCTTTCATCAGGGTCTCTGAGAGAGTTAGGTTAGTGTAGCTTCCTAAGGGAAAGCGCTAGTATTAATTAGTCCTATGAGTTACCAAATGGAGCAGTGATGAAATATGGCTGAAGTCTGCGCAGGCTGGTAGTGGGAGGACATTTCTAGAGGGTCCAGATACAGAAACCGGCCTTAACCTCACGTTCAACTTGCTGCTCTCCCGGCCAGTTAGCCTTGTCTCTGCTATGTCCACTACACTTACAGTTGGTTTTTCTTGTCGAGCGTGAACATTTTTCTCCTTTGCACTGCCACCCACAATTAAAACTGTTTTAAGATTATGATTTGTTTTTGTTTTTTATGACAGTGTCTCTCTTTGTAGCCCGTGCTGTCCTGAAACTCACAGTCCTCCTGCCTCAGTCTCCCCAGTGCTGGGTTTGCAGGTGTGTGCCACTGTGCCCAGCCTGTTTTATTAGGTTGCTGTCAGCTGAAATACCTGTTGACATTTGTATGAGAAGCACAAACTAGGTAACTGCATTTGTGTTGTTGAGGTGATACCAGCAACCCGCGAGTGAAATGTCTTACTCCAGTCACTATGGTAATCAGATTAGATCTTTCAGTTGGGAATCATGTGAAATCTAGTGATCATTATGAATTCATAATGTTAGAGGAGTTCAGGTTGACACATGTTATGGACGAAAAGTCCCCTGGCTTATCCTCAAACTGACGGTCCTTTTTACGAATATCATCCATTGTGTGTTAGGCATTTAAGCAGATAATGTGATTACATCCACCTTTGGCTCTCTATGACTTCAGGAGATTCACAGTGCTTTCTCAATTCCCACTTTCCCTTTCTTTGGAAAGCAAAACCAAATGAAAACAAAAACCAAATTGTGTTTTCAAGAGGTGTAAAGAGTTGTTTGACCTGTGCATGGCAGGTTATCCTACAGCTTTGAGCGATCTCTCTGGTGCACGCTTGTAAAGTTGCTACCTAAGGATGACACTAAATACAAGTTACGCAAGTTTGTCTTTCTTCACAGGTTGCTGATTTGGATGATGAATTTGCTGACTTGGTTTTAGGAGAATTTAGTGACAATTTTGATTTGGTACCAGCTGAAAAGGTAATGTGTTACTTAGTCATTTAAACAAAATCTTACTAAGTGAATATGGTTTGTGTTTCTGTCTTTGGAGCATGTATATGTATGTGTTAACTTTTTACACTATTAAAAAATGATGGCTTATGCTGGGCAGTGGCACACACCTTTAACCCAGCACTGGTCTACTGCATGAGTTCTAGGATCGCCAGAGTTACACAGAGAAACCCTGTTTTGACGAACAACAACAACAAAAAAGTGGCTTACAAATAAACGTCACTGCTCCTGTTAGTGCTTAGTGCCAGCAGCGTGTGCAGTTTTCTCCAGAGTCAGGGTCAGTTAACCTTCTCTTATTGGTAGCTCTCTAAGCAGGCCTGAGGCCCACTCAGTAGGAGGTGAGGTCCTGGTTCTCAGAGGAGGAGAACCTACTCCTGCCCTTTCCTAGGCCAGCAGAATCCTTATGCCCACGGGTAAGTGCGGCTCTCTGCATCTGCAGAAAACAACAGCTGGCCATGATGCAGAGATCAGCCCCAGTGCACACAACCTTTTTTCAGTTTTTTTCATCATCTGATGTACCTTAAATGTCTCTGTCTTCTGACACTTCACAGTATTTTCAGAGACCTCATATTGACTTACTCTAGGCTCATATAGACTTACTCTAGGGAACAAGAGACAACACCGACATCCCACGCGCTAAGCAGTGATTAAGGTTACAAAACAGTGAAGCCATACAGAATGGTGGAGGTGTGGGGAAGAGTGCTGGCTTACATGGGTGTTCGGGACAAGCGTCTGACTGGGAGAGTCTCATGGGGACAGGTACACTGTGCACAGATCCATGCTTCTCTGTGTCTGCCTTTAGCTACAGACCGCGATCCACAGAGTGACGCTGGCTCAGGCCGCAGTGCCTGTGCTGTGTGGGAGTGCCTTGAAAAATAAGGGTGTGCAGCCCTTGCTGGATGCCATCACTATGTACCTGCCATCACCTGAGGAGCGCGAGCATGGCTCTCTGTAAGTGTGTGACCAAATGCATTAAATCCATGCGCCTGGAAAAATGAAAGCCTTGTCTGATAAAAGTAGCCATTTAAAGTAGCCTTTAAAAATAGAAAACAGTGGTAAGAATATCTCTGTAAATGATACAGAGCCGTGGTAATTTTCACTTGAAAATGACATTTTTGCTTTTTTTTAAAACTTGTCGGGTTGGAGAGATGGCTCATTGGTTAAGAGCATTGTCTGCTCTTCCAACGATCCTGAGTTCAATTCCCAGCAACCACATGGTGGCTCACAACCATCTGTAATGAGGTCTGGTGCCCTCTTCTGGCCTTCAGGCACACATGCAGACAGAATACTGTATACATAATAAATAAATAAATATTTTTTAAAAAAACAACAACTTGTCATAGTTGGTAGAACTGTGCAGGTGGCTTTTTCCCCAGAGAGTTGATTCTGCCATCTGTGTTGGGGTTTTGGTGTTTTGTCTTGTTTTGTTTCTCTTTAAGGTTGTTACTCATAGTAGATTTGTTTATATTCATCTAGATTTCAGGATTTCCTGTGGTAATTATTCTGTGGTTTGGTTTTGTTTTTCAAAAAGATCATTGTTTCTTCCTGCTGCCCAGCTCCGGACTTGCATAATAGATATCTAACATCTGAAGTAGTGTTAAGCAGAATAGCGGAGAAATGGGTTTTATGTTAAGGAGGACAGTGATTTTTCACATCTAAATTGGAAAGGCATCGTGGGACATGAGCGTGGGCATGGCTTCAAGTAGCCTTGTTGCAGCTAATCTAGTGAAGTGTAGGTGATAGAACTCATCTCCCCCGACCTGAAAAAACAAGTGAGTTTATCTTTGTTAAGCGTAAGGACCAGTGCTGGCATGTAGAAAATTTCCTTATTTGAACCATCAAAGTTAAAAGGCAGAAGTCTAACGAGGAATGAGACTGGAGAAAGACTATTGTCAGAAGTGCTTAACTTACTCTGCGTCATAGACTTCCTTGAGACTGGTGAAAATATCATTTATCTTTTTTCAGAAAAATGCACCTATGCACAAAAATCTGTCACCTTCAGGACAATTCAAAACTTTACATTTCTTTAAGAATACCATCTCTGTGAACAAGCTCCAGTTTCCACTGTAGACTGGTGGTGTTATCAGCTGCACACGAGGTGAAGTGTGCAGTGTGTACAGCAACAATTAGAAAGAAAATGTATTTATCCTGTGCATTCCTTGCTTTTATGACCTTTGAGGGTACACTTTTTAAGGAGAGAGTTTGTGCAATGAAGATGTTTGCAAATATGGCAGTACTTGAAAGAGAACCCACTATTTTTTTTTTTTTAATTGGTAAGCTCTCCATGAAGTATTTTAGTCAGTGATGGAAGAGAGGGCTGTAGTGACATTACGTCCTGGGCCTGGATAGCTTACATGTGATCTTTGGAGAGCCCTGGTGATCTGTGCAGAGCTGGGCCTTCTCTAATGCCTGCCTTGTCTTGCAGGCAGTGGTATAAGGGTGACTTGTGTGCACTGGCGTTTAAAGTGCTGCACGACAAGCAGCGAGGACCCCTGGTTTTCCTGCGCATTTACTCGGGCACACTGAAGCCCCAGTTGGCCATCCATAACATCAACAGAAACTGCACGTAAGGGGAAGATTTTGGTTGTTTTCTAAAACCGCACTCATTTATTTCAAAGTACTTTACTGTTATAAATTATGGGTTTTTTATAGGGAGAGAATGAGTCGCCTGCTTTTGCCATTTGCTGACCAGCATGTGGAGATCCCTTCCTTGACTGCTGGCAACATTGCTTTGACAGTTGGTCTTAAACAAGTGAGTAACCACATGGGTTCCATAGCAAATCCTGTAAATGTGATTTATAAATAGTTTATAATAGCAAAAACTTTACAAATCATCTGAATGTCATTATATGAAATATGATGGCATAGTCATCAATATGGCTGAATGCCATACATTAGTTAGAAAGAAAAACAGATTAAGAGAAACCCACAGACAGAATGAATTATAGTCAAATGAAGTTCAACACCAAGTAAAGTCTACTACTTGTTGAAATGTGTATGTCAAGTTTACTTAAAATACTGTTTTATCTGCATGGAATTTTCACCTATATGTGTGTTTGTAGGGGGGGAATGGGGGGGCTCTCTCTTTCTCCGTCACTGAGTTGCCTAGGCTTGCCTTGAGCTTGCTGTCCATCCCTGGCTGGTCTCAAACTCTCTACTGCTATGCTTGGTGAGTGTTTACCTGTTTGATCATGACAGAAAGTTTGATCTAACCGTACAACTGACCAGATAATGATGAAAGGCATTTTGCTATCAAGAGCTCATTAAGGGCCAAGGCTTGGGTGTCTTTTATTCTTAGTTCTCAGTCTGCAGTGGACTCCAGTGCTTGCACACAATGGACACCACCTAGACATTTATAGAGCAAATGGAAGGACACACTTAGAGCCACATCTGCTTTGGGTGGGTTAAAAATTTCTTTTAATTCAGATTAGTCAAATGTATTTTTTTGTTAAATTTGGGCACATCTCATATTGGGATAAAAATTGTTACTTTAACCTTTTTAACTCTTCATAAGTAACTGCAGCTTTCAGAAATGTTTAGGAGAAAACTTCCATGGTCTGAATTTTATACCTGGGATATTTTGGAGAAAGAGTTTTTCTGTGTAGCCTTGGCTGTCCTGGAACTTTCTCTGTAGACCAGGCTGGCCTTGAACTCAGATACCTGCCTGCCTTTGCCTCCTGAATGCTGAGGCTAAAGGGTGTGCTTCCATGCCTGACTGAACCTGGCTTTATTATTGTTGTCTTCTCTGTCTTCCTAAAGGCAGGGCCTGCTCCTGGTGCTTATTTGAAGGAGCACTGCAAACATTTGGAGGGTTTTCTACAGAGGGAACCCAGCACAGCCTTGACATGAGCAGAGCAGGACTGAAACCGTTTACGTGCAGTCTATATCACTCATGGGCGTGTCTTAAGTTGGTGTGAAATACTGCTCTATCCCCATGGAACTTCTTCTTAGTGTCTCTCTGTGTGTTCTGCTTAATTGGATATTTGAGGTAATAGAGAATTTTTTGGTAAAACAGTAAGAAATTCCTTTTTTTTTTCTTCCAGTTTTTCAAAATAGGGTTTCTCTGTAGCATTGGATCCTGTCCTGGAACTCGCAATGTAGACCAGGCTGGCCTTGAACGCACAGAGATCTGCCTGTCTCTGCCTCCCGAGTGCTGAGATTAAAGGTGTGTGCCACCACCGCCGGCAGTAAGAAATTCTTAACTGGTGTTAAAAACATTATGAGTTTTTAGTGAACCTGCCTTGCCATGATGGGAAATTCAGGCAGATGAATACATTTTTTTGCCAGTAAATTTTGGTTTGGTGTGTATTATATATGTTTCATTATTTGTTAGAATTTATTTATTTAAAAATAAACCCTCTTTCCCCAAATTGCTTTTTTAAAAATATTTATTTATTTATTATGTATATACTATGTATTATATTGTTCTGCCTGCATGTATGCCTGCAGGCCAGAAGAGGGCATCAGATCTCAATATAGATGGCTGTGAGCCATCATGTAGTTACTGGGAATTGAACTGAGGTCCTCTGGAAGAGCAGCCAGTGCTCTTAACCTCTGTGCTATCTCTCCAGCCCTTTTAGAACTTATGACAATGACATTTTAGGTAGAGTTATTACCCAAGGTAAATGAGCGTTGTTTATGTAGAGTTGTAAGATCTGTGAATTTATTTCCTTCTGTGCTACACTAACATTCTGTCTAGGGGTTTTGAGTGGAAGAGTGCTAGCCAGGAAGCTGTCCCATTTGCTTGCAGACTGCCACTGGAGACACCATCGTCTCTTCCAAGTCCAGCGCCTTAGCTGCAGCCCGTCGAGCGGGAAGGGGAGAAAAGAAGCACGGGAAAAACAATGAAGCAGAGAGTCTGCTGTTGGCAGGGGTGGAGATCCCAGAACCTGTTTTCTTCTGCACCATAGAACCCCCATCAGTGGCTAAGCAACCAGGTACCGACAGTCTTTGTGTCTCAGTTCATTGGTGTCTGTAGTGTATGGGAAGTAGTCACAGTGAGTCCTCAGGAGACTTTCTGCATGATAGAGATAGATCTTACTTGCCTTTACTGTTCAGCATTTCTTGTGGTTTGGTCTGTGCTTTTCTTAAATCGCTTTGACTTTTACAAACTCTATATATGTCTTAGCCATTTTTCTACTTTCATATACTTCTCATTCTTATTCTTGTAATACTTTTGTTGGTTGGTTGGTTTGTTGTTGTATTGTTTTTTTGGTTTTGTTTTTGCTTACGGGGTATCTTTGTGTAGCACTGGCTGTCCAGGAACTCATCCTGTAGACCATGATGGCCTCAAACACAGAGGTCCACCTGCTTCTGCCTCCCAAGCTTTGGGATTAAAGGCATGCACCACCACCACCCGGCCTTGTAATGCTTTTTATGGGATTCTAATTAATTGACCCTACCTTGTCCTACCCTCCTAGTGTGTTAGATTAATTAGGACATGAATTTTAACTAATTCACTTTTTTGCATCTAAAGTATGAACCAGTTCTGACTTCTTGAAGATGGTGTGCCATTTTGTGTTGTGGTTTCTCTTCCTTGACATAGTCTTGCTTACACTGTAATGGTTTTCCCTGAATTTGTCTGTCTTTAAAACGCTGTAGGTCTCATCTCAAACATCAGTGCTTTATGAGGCTCTCAATGAATACTCAGTTATGAAGACTACCTAAACACAAGTTTTATAGTTTTCCTTACTCCCTTTAAAGATGAGCTGGACTCACAGATTATGGGAGAATAAGAACAATCTTTATTTCCTCTCTGTATCTCCTATAATGTAATGGGAAAGAAAGTCTCTAACTGGGTGGGGTTGCAGTTCTTCATCTACCCAGCTAGAGAGAACATGAAAGAAATCAGAGTGCAGATGTAAGACCCTGAGTAATGAAAGAAACCGTGTCTTTTTTTGTCCAGTTGCTGAAGGAACAGTATCTAATGTAAGGCAGATGTAGAGGGGCTGGAACAGCGCTCGGTGATTAGGAGCACTTGCTCTACCAGAAGTCCGAGTTCAGTTCCCAGCACACACACAGCTACTCGAAACTGCCAGTAACTCAGGTTCCAAGCATCTGATGCTCTCTCTGGTTTCCTTAGTAACAACCAGTTATTGGTACATATTTACGTGCAGGCGCTCATCCATAAAGCATTTAAAAGAAAAAAAAAAGAAAAAGATACAGAAAATCCAAAATCTGAAATGCATGAAATTTGAGCATTTCTCATCTCAAGCATTTCAGATAAGGGATATTCATCCATTATTATTATTATAATTATAATTATTATTATTTTAACATGTAGTAATTGAAAAAGTATTAATGAGTCAAGAAATGACTCAGTGGTTAACAGCACCCCCTGTTCTTGCAGAGGACTGGTTTGGGTTCTCAGCATCCAGTGCTGGATCATGGTGACTAGCAACCATCTGTTACTCAATTTTCAGAGAATCTGACACCTTCTTTTGGCCTCCAAGGACATCAGCATGCAAATGGTGCATAGACATAAAAGAAGTCAAAGTACTCTCACACATAAATCTTTTTAAAGTACTATTTTTTTCATGTGAAGTCTTTGAAATATGGTATGCATTTTACATTAATAGTACCTATTAATTCAGAGCAGTAATACTGAAAATGCCCAATGGCTACTGTTGGCCAGCAGAGCTCTAGAAGGCCTGGTTTATATACCTAAGAACAATTTGAATGAATATAGTGATAAAGGTTAGCTTTTTAATCTGTAGTTCAGCTCTTTCCTACGGCTGCACTTTTCAGTCTGTGGAACTTTTTATAAAGAAGGCAAGCATATTCATCAGCAAAGTCTATCATTGTCTGACTCCCCATAGCACACAGTGATCCGTCTTCAGACTCACCTGTAGTTGAGAATTCACCAGAGGGATCAGATGTCATTTTATCTTCCCTTTGCTGGCTCTTCAGTGTAGCCAGTGTTTATGAAGGCTCACTGGCCTTTTATTTATTTATTTTTTTTTTTGTCGGCTCCTAGATTTGTCTTTATGAAGTAGAGCCAGATGACGTTACTGGCCTTTTAATGTTCTTCAGTGGCTTCCCAGTATAAAGCCAGACTTCCCAGCATGGCTTGAAAGACAGTGCATGCTCTCTCTGGCTTGCACCTTCCTTCTCATCTAGTGCTGGTCTTCACTGGCTGATGTCTGACCGCCAGCCTGCTTGCTACTGTACCCAGCTTGCTGTGGAGATGTGTGCACATACTCACTCTTAAGCAACTCTCATTGAAATTGTCTTACCTTGTTTTAGTCTCTGCATTTATGACTCTTTGAAATTTTCTTTTTTTTATCAATGTACCTGATTGTTAGTCTGTGCTCCCCACTTCAGACTCTGTTTATTTCCATAGAAATGAAGTGAAGACAGTGATAGCTATTGTTTAATCTCTCAGATTTGGATCATGCCTTGGACCGCCTTCAGCGTGAAGATCCCAGTTTAAAAGTGAGGATTGATCCTGACTCTGGACAAGTACGTATTTATTACCCAGCCCTAGAAGGGAGAGAAGGAAGACATTCATATGACATTAACTAGTCTCCTGAAAGAAAAAGCTCGGATTCATAATTTAAGTTCCCCTTTATGATGTTGTCATTCTAAATAAATACTCTCTTCAATTCCCTAAAATAACTACATTTCACATGTACAGATCACTCCCCATCTGTTTTGACTTTCCATAATACAGGCTTTTGTGAAGTTTTAAAATAAGTTCAACTCTTGTGTCTTTTCCACTGATGCTTACAGAAGCAGCATCCTAGAGGGAGGTCAGAACCACAGAGGCCTGTTTCTCTGATGTATGCGTGTTCCAGCTAGCCTAGGGCTTGCCACTCCCTCCAGCATTTAAGAAATATCCATGTAATTGGGAGGTTCTAGGGGAAGCTATTTACCTCGTTCTCAAGGCGTCATCTTCAGCATAGTTTCAAACAATTGTCTGCTTTTTCACTAAGCAAGGGTTTAGCTGAGTGTAGTGGCACACGCCTTAATCCTAGCACTTGAGAGGCAGAGGCAAGTGGATCTCCGAGTTCTAGGACAGTCTGGTCTACAAAGTGAGTTCCCGGACAGCCAGCGCTATTTAATGAGACACAGGCTGAAAAATACCACCACACAGCCCACCCCAACCCATGCCACCCAGAAAAGAAAGAAAAGGGTTTTAGCCTGGTCTTGGGTGGCTCATGTCTGGTTCCAATACTTGAGAGGCTGAGGTAATAGGATTGCTACAAATTTGAAGTGAATCTAGACTGCACACAAGTGAGAGCCTGTCAAAAAGCAAACCGGGGGCTGGAGAGGCGGCATAGTGGTTAAGCGTACTTCCCATCCAGTGCTCTATTCTGGCTCAGTGGGCACCAGCCATACCAGCGGACACACACATGCATGCAGGCAAAATACCCATACATATAAAATATTAAAAACTAGAGCCAAGAAGATGCCTCAGTGAGTAAAGGCATTGGCTGCACAGGCCTCCAGATACGTTGTCCTCTGACCCCTGCACATGCTTCTCCTCTATGTTATACACAAACATACCACATGTACCATAATAGATAGCAATAAACAGATGTCCACAAAGAAAGAAGATACAAAGCAGAGTCCAGAACATTGATTGCACTCCTGGTGCATTGGCCGGAATTTGATACACGGGTTAGATAACTTGATGCCACTTACTCACCCGACTGGTAACCAAACTGTCGTGAAAGGAGACTACAATTGATCCATTATCCTAGCCAGGAAAATGAGTAATACTTTCATATAGGAGCCCAAAAAAATTTTCAAAAGAAATTTAGTTGTAATTAATGGAAAATTACTTAAATACATGAATATCATTACTTTTTATAATATTTTTGAAATTCTTTCTCTGTATATAGTATTTTGTCTTATCTTTTTTTCCTTTTTATAAACAGACAGTCCTGTGTGGTATGGGGGAGTTACATATTGAGATTATTCATGACCGAATCAAGAGGGAATATGGCCTAGAGACCTATCTAGGGCCTCTGCAGGTGGCATACCGGGAAACCATCTTAAACTCAGTTCGTGCCTCAGGTAAAAAATAAAACATTTTGGACATTCTGGGTTTGTCAGTGTTTAGTTGTGTAAATGGAAGGGGGTCACAGTTTCTAGTGTCTCCCACAGTTTTACTATGTCAGTTTGTAAAAAATTTTGTGACAGACACAGAAGGCCTAGACCATTACTGTGCGCTCATCAGACAGATGCGTCTTCCAGCAGCTGTGGGACAGGATAAGCTAGTGAAGCAGACGACTTGCTTACTTGTGCTCGCCACTGAAATGCCAGAAGACTTTGAAGTCAATGAATTATATTTATTTTATTAAAATGAGTAGCATTCTAGAGAAAGTGCAGGTTTCATGTTTCTGTCCTGAATGTACGTGCCCAGCTTTTCTGTATTTGGTTCTTTTAAGTGAAATAACAGTGAGCACTATTTACCCCAAAGTGAACTATGCGTGGAAGGTTGTGAAGCAGTGCAGACCAGAAATGCTTAAGATAACCAAGTGCCCTTAAGCACACCCAAAATTTGTTGAGTCTAGGCGACCACATTTCACTGGAACTTGAAGTTAAGCATGGATGCGGTATCACGGGGCTCTGTTCTGGACTGTACATCTGCAGCAGTAAAGCCCAGATAAACATGAATAATACCCTTTTAAGTTAATGCCTGCGCTGGTTAGCACGAAACTCTGGGAACAAGAGTCTGGGGAAGTAAGTGCACGCTGCAGCCATCAGCTGTCCTCTCTGCCTCAGCATGGAGGCCTCTTCCTCACAGAAGGAGCTGCCTTGGGGGGTCTTCTCCATAGAAGCCAAGGCGGTGGCATCGAGGCACGAGTCCAGATTCGTGGCTGTAAGCTTCTGATACAGAGTTTTAAGCCTAATTTACAGAACCTGTTAGGTACTTGTGAGTAGGTAGCATCTTGAAGATGCTGAAGGAAGCAGAAGGTCTCCAGAGAGTTGTATGTCAACCCAGGCCTTGAGGGTATCTCACAGTAAGGTACTATACAAAAAGGAAAACAAATGCTTTTAAAAAGGGAAAAGAGGTCCCAGGATTACAGGAACCAATTTGCCAGCTTGAAAAATTTGTTCACTGTCAAACATAGAGTCATTAAACACCAAGAGACGATGTAGACAGTAATTGCACTCCCGAGGAGTGATGTGAATTCACTAGAACATGAGACATAATAGCAGGAGGAAGGGGCGGGTCTTCTTCAGAGTGGAGTGTGAAGTGTCTCCTGAGAGAGGTGGAGGGCATGGCAGGGATGGAACACGGCCTGGTAGAAAGGGGGGTGCAGAAGTGATAACCAGATGTGCCCAGGGTACATGCAGATGAGGATACCTAAGACAGTCACGGGAACGGTACTGTAGGTACTAGCAATTTCTGTTTCTTTAGAAATTTTAGAGGTGGCTCAGAGGTTAAGAGCACTGACTGTTCTTCCAGAGGTCAATTCCCAGCAACCACATGGTGGCTCACAACCACCTGTTATGAGATCTGGTGCCCTCTATTAGCCTATAGGATGTATGTAGGCAGAATACTGTATACATAATAAATAAATCTTAAAAAAAAAGAAAAATTCTAGGTTTTGTGTTGTTCGTCTTATTTTTTAGTTTATGTATGCTTTCTTGGATGTTTCATAGTAGCAAGCTCAAAAGGAATTATCAAGGCTCAGTTTTTAGTTTTGAGTGTGGGATTTGAGTGGCCGCGTTACATTGCTGCTCACGTGAATGTAGCCATTTTGTGTCAGCAGAGTGCTGGTAGCAGCTGCTGGTGGGGAGAGCCGTAAGAATGTGGTAAGAGCAAGGCAGAGAAGCCTCTGGGTTCAGTCCCCAGAAATTAGAGCCTGACATTGTGGTGCACGCCTTTAATCCCAGCACGTGGGAGGCAGAGGTAGGTTGATCTCTGTCAGTTCAGTGCCAGCCTGGTCTACATAGTGAGTTCCAGGAAAGTCAGAGATACATAGTGAGACTCTGTCTCAAAAAGAAAAGAAAGAAAAACATAGGAAAAACAAAACAAAAAAGCAAAACCAAGGAAAACTGTTTACCTATATTTTAAGAAAGTTTTTTGGGGAAGAAACATGAAATGTTGCTGAAAGAATATATGAAATTTAAGTTTGGAAATTGGCAGAGAAACACATTTTATAGTTTTAATTAGCCGCTTTTTATACTCTCTAGATGTTTTTATAATCTGAGTGTTACGTTTCTTTCAAGCTCTGGTCATTTATTCCATTCATTTGGTACTGTATGTGTGTGTGTGTGTGTGTGAGAGAGAGAGAGACAGAGAGAGACAGAGAGAGACAGAGAGAGACAGAGAGATTGAGATTTTTCAAGATCAAGCTGGCCTGGTCTGCCTCCTGAATGCTGGAATTAAAGGCGTGAGCCACCAGCCCAGGGCCATTTATTTGATAATCTTAAAGACTGTCTTTTGAGTAGACTCAGACTTTAGAAGCAGGCAGTTTCAGTGAAGGCAGCCTCTACCCCTTGGCAGTCTGTTGCTGGCATTTTGCTTTGGCTTCCTTCATTTCTTGGCCAAAAGCTGAGCATTGTCTGAAGTCACCCCCTTATTTTTCATGCATTTCAATGTGTTTGTTTTCAGATACTCTAGACAGGACTTTAGGCGACAAGCGGCATTTTGTGAGCGCAGAACTGGAAGCCCGGCCAGGGGAAGCACCGTCCAGCAGGGCTGTGATTGAGTATGCTGACTGTGTCAGTGAAGGTCTAGTGCAGGCCTCCCGAGAAGCCATTGAAAATGCCGTCCACAGTGCGTGCCTCCAGGGTAAGGGGAGCGAATGACGACTTAATCCGTTTTCATCTGTATTTTGAGCCAGTTTCTTGTGCACAGCAGCATGTACTCTGCCTCGGCATTACACTACTCGCCTCCTAATTGTTCCATGTTTTACAGATACCTCATGTTCTGTCTGTTTCTTTGCACTTGAGTTGTATTTTTGTTGCTTTATTCTTTGTGACTATTTGTTTATATTATTCTGCTTTATTTTTCCCCTTACTCAGGACCTTTACTTGGATCTCCAGTTCAAGATGTGGCAATAACGTTACACTCCTTGATGATTCACCCCGGCACCTCCACTACTATGGTTAATGCCTGTGTCTCAAGATGTGTTCAAAAGGTAGCGAGCAGTCTCCATGCTTCCGCTGTAAGGGAGTGCGCTGAGTGGGCACCATAGACCCCACAGGCAGCTGTGCTGACAGAACTTATAGTGGAAAGGAGACCTGACCCCTAGAGTTGTCCTCTGGCCTCCACAGACTCCCTGTGGTGCTCATGAGCATGTGCTACACACAAATAAATGTAATTTTAAAGATTTTAAACTGGTTCTTGAGGTACAGAGCCCAGGCCCATTTTTCTCTTAATTGTATGTTTTCCCACACAATTATCTTGAAAACATTTTCAGCTTCCTTTTGTGGCCTCTGAAGTCTAAGATTGTAAACTGTGTGTTGCACAAGGAAGGGTTTGTTTATAGAGAATGTTTCTGCCATCTTGACTGTTGGCGTTGTTGTCCTCCAGCATGTGACCACTAGTATGTATAATCAAGTAGTAAAGACCTTGGTTTCTTACAAAATGCTATCCCTGGAGTGTTAAAGCAACTGAGGTTACCAGAGCCTTAGGCTCAAGAATATTGGAAATAGTTCAGTTTTTCAGCTTTTATGTAACTTCATTTTACTTGAATAGAAATTTGTTCAACTTATGAACTCCCTTCAGGCCCTGAAGAAAGCTGAGAAGCAGGTGCTGGAGCCGCTGATGAGTCTTGAGGTAACAGTGCCTGGAGATTACCTCAGCCCCGTCCTGGCAGACTTGGCCCAAAGAAGAGGGAATATTCAGGAAATTCAAACTCGCCAGGACAGCAAGGTTGTTATAGGATTCGTTCCTTTAGCAGAAATGATGGTAAGTTCTTTGCATTTGAACTGTACATATTGTTTAATATACGAGATTTACACTTGTAACATGAAGGGAGCCTGCTAGTTTGTGTTTTCTGTCTTGCCTGGTTCCCATAGCTGTTTAGCCCCAAAAGAAAATCATACAGAGGACTCCGTAAGTTATAAAGTTGATTGGCCCATTAGGTCAGGCTACTTATTAGCTAACTCTCTTATCTTGATTAACCCATTTTTCTGATCTGTGTTAACCATGTGGCTCAGTATCTTTTTCAGTGGGGCAAATCATATCTTGCTGCTTTGGTGGTCTGGGTAGGAGTGTGAGGAATCAGTTTCCTCCTTCCCAGAATTTTCCTGTTCTTATTGCATCATCTCTATTTCCTGTTTGGTTTTCCCGCCTACATTTTCTGCCTGGCCAATCAGCATTTATTTAAAACATGATTGACAGAATACAGACAATTCTCCCATATGATACACTGAGTAAAATTAGGTGGTTGCTAACACCTGCAGGCATCATGTTTTAGCTTTAGATTGTGTGCCAAGTTTCAGCCACTTTTAGAAACTTCACCAGGAGTGAAGACTTTGGCCTTCAGTAGTGAGAGCTGTGGAACATAGCACTTTATACAGGTTATTTCCAACCTTGGGACCACAAAGATATGGCATACTGCACCAAAATGCGGTCAGTCTGCATGACCACTCTCCCCTTTCTGCCTTAGTTTTGAAGCCAGCATCATTCTCTTCCCCAGTCAGGCATTTTTTTCTCCTGGGGTAGGCACCAGGGGTACCAACTGATAATGAGGAAGGACAGAGTCATAGCACCAAATTCCTGGGCCTTGGAATGAAAAAACGCACAGCTGACTTACCTATGCTAAATTCTCTTGTTTCCCATAATAGTTCCTTCCCTTCCTCCCCCTCTCCTGAGATCTACCTGGAGGCAGTGGTATGACTCTGCCCTACCATGACCTTCTCTGCTGTGCTCTAAAGATGATCAGCAAGGAAAGAAACTTAAAGTCTAAATATAATGCAGTAACAAATTGAAATTCTTTTTATTAGGGATATTCAACTGTGCTTCGAACGCTGACTTCAGGCTCGGCTACTTTTGCCTTAGAATTCTCTACTTATCAAGCCATGAGTCCTCAAGACCAAACTGCTCTGCTCAACCAGAGAAGTGGTTTGGCCCAAGTGCTTTAGGTCCTTGGAAACACAGGGAAATGCCCAGAAAAAAGCATGTACCTGCTTCGTTCTCAGTAAGAGTGCTGTTTTATTCATTGGCTGGTAAATTACTGCTTTGGTGTATGAAAAGAACTTGACAAAAGATGTAGATACTGGCATTGGAGCTGCATTCTAATTCTGTGTGGAACGTGCTTTGCTATAAATGCACCTCCACTCTGTGCCCTGGTTGGATCCCTTCCCTCTCTGTTACTGTGGCAAATAACCTGTCCAGGGCAGCTTATAAAAGGGTTTGTTTTTGGCTCAAGGTTTCGAAGGAGAATCCGTAATTGCAGGGACAGCAAGGCAGCAGGAAGCTGTGAGAAAGCCCACCTTTAACCTCAAGCACGGCAGAGTGCAAACCAAAATTGGGGCCTGGCGGTGAGCTCTCCAAGTCCAACCAGTAATGAACTTCCTCAAGCAAGGCTGTATTTCCTGGACCTCCACAAATAGCATCCACTGGGAAGCACATGTCGGAAGGCCTGGGCCTATGAGGAACGTTGGTCATTTAAAATTTTCTTTTTACATTCTTTCCTTTGAGTCTTTTGACTACATACATGCTTGTATATCATGTGTGTGCCTGATACCCGTGAAAGTCAGAAGTGGATGTTAACATCCCTTGGAGCTGGAGTTATGGATGTTTATGAAGCACCATGTAGATCCAGGAGCTGAACTCAGATTCAGAATCTGTAAGAGTAGCAAGTGCTCTGAAATGCTGCGCCTTTGTAGCCAGCAGCTCTCAGTTAAGCCGTCACAGTGATGAAGGTCATGTAGCCCTTTGGAGTATTCGAGTGATATCACAAAGCTTTTCCTGTTATTTTTTAAGCTGCTCAATTAAAAGATGCCAGTATTCGGTGTGTGACACAGAAAGAGATTCAATCAATAAAAAGATGGTTTATTAAAAAAACACCTAAACAAATATTAATTTTACATGATTTCACAATCAACATGATTATAGTTCAGACTGCTGTAGACTTTTCTGTTCACGTTTCCTTTCTATACTCAAGGCTACAATGTCCAGTAAAGAGAGGCTGTGCAGCTATTCCACGGCTGTTGACAGATAACAAAGAGATGTTTTAGATTGGTGGCCCTCCCATCTCAGATCACTTTAGCAAATCCCCACTCTGTGAAGATTTGATGATTCTAATTTAAGCTACTAACTCCTTTAAGATGGCAGTTACACTAAACATATCTTACAGGTGTTGCTTTCCCCCCTGCAACAATGAGTTTGTAACTTCTACCGAGTAAATGACTACTTCCTAGGTGATGTTTTTATTTATTGCTAAGCAAAAAGCTGAAGGCAGGAGTTACACTGAATGCTGGACTTTAGTAAGATCTTAGGCTGGAAGGGCGTGCCCCTCACCTGACCATCCTGCACCGGTGGATCACCAGTCTGTTGTAGGCATCTTGTAGGTCGGTGACAGTTTGAGGACTCCAGAGCCTCTCACCAACAGCGCTTGCCCGAGGCCTGAAATTTAAAATATGTGTCTCCCAAGGCGGTCATCTACTTAAGGAAATTCTTCGGGGCTTTCCTTCTTACACAGAGAAGAGCCAAGGCATCTTTTAAAGCATTTGGCATCCCTTTCATTCCTTACCATAATCTCGGAATGAGGTTAGTTGCATCCACATATTCTCCCCACAGGCAAGCTTCTCCACCAATGACTAGTTGTTTCTCCTCCTCAGAACCTGCATTAAAGTGGTTGAAGGGAAAGGAGTTAAGCCGCACAACACTGGCTTCCTCTCTATAGTCATCCCATGTTCCCTTCCTGTGGGCACCAGAACCTTTATTCCCACCCTGGCTCCGTGCTATTCAACATACATAGAGGACTATGGTGAGCCAGGAGGAGGTACTTTTCATAGGAGCCTGTGCAGACTCGTCTGGACACCTCCTCCCATTTCTGATTAGTGGTGTGCCAAGAAATACAAGTTGGAATAATAAAATTAGCTTCATTTTAATGGACCATGACCACTACTTATATTTGGTTTATATTCCTTGGTATTTAGTAACGAAACAAAACAGAGTAACTAAAAACTACTATTTAGAATGATTACTTTTGATCCTCAAAGTCATAATTTTTAGTGGATCAATATTTCTGAGACTTTTAATCATAACATCATTTTCTAAGCTAAAGACTGATCTACAAGAACTGTATAATTTAGAACTGCTAATAAAGAAGTTGAAAACCCTGGCCCACCCAACCTGAAATCCATAGACGCAAATGGTAACCTTACTTAGGTGTCCTAAAAGTTAACACACTTGCAGGGTGGTGGTGGCGCACGCCTTTAATCCCAGCATTCCGAAGGCAGAGTTTGAGGCCAGCCTGGTCTACAAGAGCTAGTTCCAGGACAGGTTCCAAAAAAACTACAGAGAAACCCTGCCTCAAAAAACAAAACAAACAAAAAACAAAACAAACAAAACAAACAAACAAAAAGGTAACACACTCAACCATCTCTCAGATATAGAAAGCAACTCCATAAAAATGGAGGTAAAATATAAGGGGGTATTTCATTTAAGACTAGCACATTGTTCCTTCCAGAAGTTAAAATGATACCAAAGCTTTATTTTTAATAAAATCAAAGATCAGTCATAATAGGAATAATAGGCATCCAGGTTAGATTTGGGAGGAGAGTGGAAGTTATGGGAGAATCCAGCAGGATGGCTGCTTTGCTTACCTTCAAAATTAAGAGGCTCCACTGTGTAGTACTGTCTCCAGTCTTGCCCATAGCTAATGACGTCTAAGTACCAAGGAGCAGAAAGGATTGCCGGGAAGCCGGATGAGGTGACTTGTTTCAGCTCCTCTAAATAATTTTCACTCTTCCACACTTCAACCACTGTGTCCGGCTGAAGCTAAAGGTGCAGATTGCAATCACAGTATTAGGTCTACCAAATACAGTCTTTAAGGCTTTCTAAGATCTTAGAAAAAAAACCATCCGTCCCTTTTCCTAACAGTCAGGGCCATGTGCTATTCCCTCACTGTGTTTTCATTGCTGTTCACCTTTCATCAGCCCTTAATACTGGACATTAACCTCTGTTATAGCTGACACCTCAGAGACTAAAGAACTCAGGGTAAGGTGTGCACCTTGATCCCATTCCCACCACACCAGTGTTCTACTTAACTTAAAACCATGAGACTATCACCAGTCCCTTAGAGATAACAGTGGTACCTGGGCTTGTAAGATACACTACAAATAAACAATAAGGGAAAAATATTTCTTAAAAGTGTATATTCATTTTACCTATTTTAAAACCACTATGTTTTTAAAAACCTCATTTGGTGTCTGTTTTGCTCCTAAAAACAAAAAGGAACTTAATTCAAAATACTTGAACTTGTGAGACAGCAGGAGCTTGGGGAAGAAACTAGAAGGAACAGAGGGTTGTCCATATTACTAATAGCGTCCTGTGTCTGCATGTTGTAGTGCATGCACGGGCAGGCTTGCCATCCTGCTCTGGTCACTGCATTCCCTCAAGTGCCACTGAACCTGGAGCTATGCTGGAGCCAGCAAGTCCCAGCAACCTTCTTGCCCCAGCCCTGATGATGTTTGGGTTACAGGTGTACACTAGGCCATGCTTGCCATGTTGTCGTTCAAGACAGGCTTTCTCTGCCCTGGCTGGTCTCGAACTCACAGATCAGCCTGCCTCTGCCTCCCAAGTGCTGGGATTAAAGGTGTGTGCCACCACAGCCCAGCCAACTTGGCTTTATTTTTAAGCTCTGTTCTTGACAATTTCATGTTTGTCTCTAATGCATAGTGATTAGTCTCTCCCTTGAATCCCCAGTGCCTTCCCCTGACTGATGACTTGGTTTGCGTGACCACTGGACTGGTGCTGTCTGTGGGACCTGGTAGGGTCACCAGGGTCACACACTGAAAGTATTGCCTCCTCTCCTTGAATCTGTCTGTAGCAAAGAGTTCCGCAGTGAAGAATGGAGCCCTCCAGATCTCCATCATCCTGACTGCTGAACACCCAACTTTAAAGCGGGTGCTCAGGCTAGTACGGCAGGCAGTCTTTCCCTGCCCTGAGTGGAGTCTTCACAGTTCTTACCTCCACGTTGTCATCAAAAACCTCTTGCCAAACAATGGAGCCCTTCTTTAAGGATGTAACAATGCCCAAAATCCTAGCATTGAAAAAATTGACAGTTATTTAGATTCCATGCTCAGGATAAACACATCTTACCCTCTTATATAGAAAATGTGACTTAATTTTTAAATATTGATCCATGTTTGGTTTTTCAAGACAAGGTTTCTCTGTAGCTTTGGAGCCTGTCCTGGAACTTGCTCTGTAGACCAGGCTGGCCTTGAACTCACAAGAGATCCACCTTCCTCTGCCTCCCGAGTGCTGGGAATTGAGGCGTGCACCACCACCACCTGGCTTTGATCCATGTTTTTGTCTTCCTCATATATAAGCTTCTCCTACATCTTACAGATCTCTTTAAACAGTGCAATTCCACAGTCCTCCAGTCACTTCCCTAGCCTCTGCTGAACCCTTAGGCTCCGCCCCCACCTAACTCTGCTTGGCTGTACCTGCCCTTTCCTCTAATTAAATTAAGTATTTCACTAGGCCTTGTGAAACCCAGCCATACGCGAACAAAGACCCCTCAGGGTGGGCAACTTCAACACTGAGCTGTGTTTCCTATGCTTGTGACACATCTTATAAGACAGTGGTTCTCAACCTTCCTAATGTTGTTCCTCATGTTGTGACCCCAACCATAAAACTATTGTTGCTACTTCAGAACTGTAATATCGCTATTGTTATGAATCGTAATGTAAATATCTGATATTTCCAATGGTTTTAAAGGGGTCGAGACCCACAGGTTGGCAGAAAGAAAACTGTCACATAGCCTGTCATGTCACGTCAATAACATTCAGCTATTGTTACCACAGATATTTAGTTAGGCAGTAACAAACACGTGAAGGGGTAAGAAAGAAAGAATATACCACACAAAAAGCTAACTAGGAAGGACAGAGTGAACTGAGCCTTTCTAATGGATAGAGCAGAGCCTGGAAAACGACAGCCTATAGCTTTCTTTTCTATGACTGACAAGCTAAGAATGGCTTTTGAGTCTACAAAGCTGTCTGTCTGTCTGTCTATCTCTATCTTTCTTCTTTTTAAACATATGTAACTTCACATGGTTTGTGAAACCCAAGGCTCTGGTCCTATTATGGAAAAAAAAATAGCTGAGCAGCACTGTCCAGGCAAACTTTTGGGGAATGTTCTGTCTGCACTGTGTCCAGCAGCTACCATTCCCCTTGCTATAAAACACTGGAAACGGAGCTAATGCAACTGAGAACTTTTAACTGCCTGTAATTCTAAGGTGACGGACAGGCATGTGCCTCTCTGGCTACTGTGCCCACAGTACGGAGCAAGAGAGATGCTCTAGGACTGGACAGATGGAATGAGCTGCAGACCTAGACAGTGACAAGGATTTGGGCAGCCAGGACTCGGAGCCAAGATCTCAAGACACATGACTTCTTCTATTTCAGGAGTTATTGTGAAATAATCACCGTTGTAAAGACAACAGTCCAGCACTTCCTTCTGTCTCCACTTTTGTAAGGGGTGGAGAAAATGAGGAAGTAAAGCAGACAACGAAGTTATACATAAACTTGTACAAAAGCACTGAGGACTAGGCTTTCCAGTGACTTACTTTTTAATATAAAAAGATTCCAGTCTTGTAAAATCCTTGCCAAAACCTTTTTTCTTCATGAAATTTTGGATGTTTGGATTTGATGCCCTTAAATAAAAAAGTGACTGAAATGTTATAAACATTTTGACGTGTCCAGCTTATTATTTGAAGCAGCGTGCGTCCAAAACACCAGTTACACAGACTTTAAGGAGTTAAAAGTCCAAGTTCTTGATTATGAGTTCCCATGAACTTTTCTAATGCAAAGTATTTTCCCAGAAATACTTTTTCAAGAAATTACTTTCCATTTTTAAAAAAGACCTTCCGTACCCACTCCACCCCAGCCTCTTAACAAAGCTGAGGACTCTGACTTGAACATCTCTCCTATCTAGTCATTCCCTTTTCACTAAAGCTCCTCTTTCCTTAGAGTTTTTTAGGTTTTGTTGTTTTTTTTTTCCCTCCCAAGGCTGGCCTTGAACTCACAGAGATTGGCCTGCTTCTACCTCTTGAATGCTGGGATTAAAGCCACCACCACCACCTGGCTGTCTTTTAGATTTTTTGAGACAATCTCACTATGGTCAGGTTGACCTTGAACTCCCAATACTCCACACTCATTGTCCTGAATATGAGAATTAGATACGTGCCACCAAGACTGGTTATAGATTTTTGTTGCCCATTTTCTTGAGTCAGTGCTATTGTACAGCCCAGACTTTCCTTGCCCTTGGTTGTAGGCATGAGCCACCATGCCTAGCTTCTCCCCCTTGAGTCTTCTTCCTAACCTTTCACCTTGCTGCACCTCTCAAGTATACATCCTTTAATAACTAACCATCTCGGGGATTGTTTAAACCCTTACAAGGAGAGATGTTACCCCCAGTCTTCCTCTTTCAGTGTGGAGTCTATATATCTACACTTTAAGAAAAAAAGCTGAAAAAAATAAAAGGTTTAGAGTTACCATACCAACACTCAAAATCCACTTCATCTCCACCCAAGTGAATGAACTCATCTGGAAACACACTGCTGATTTCTTTGAAAAATGTGGTAAGGAATCTATAAGTTTCATTTAGAGCTGGGTTTATAGGTCCAACCCTTTGCGTTTGCTTCCTTTGACTGTAACATGGAGTTAGGAGGCCTTTCTGACCTAGAAGAAAATACAAAGATTTATTTTTATAAGGATATTAATCACAAAGGCCTGAACTTGCACATCTTTATGCTATAAATGGTCCTCATACAATGGTATTGAATCCCAATAAGCTCCATGAGGTGAAAATTCATTAGTCAAAAATGTATTTGACACCCTAACCCACCAAGTGTAGCTCAGCACACAACACTGTTGCATCTCTGTTTGTGTGTCTGCTGGGGCCTGGAGTCTTCAAGACTGTGTCTGTGTCTACTCAATCATAGCTCGGGAAAAGATCCAAATTCAAAGCATGTTTCTATTGAGTATGAGTCCCTCTGATACTATCATAACAAACCACTGTAAACCTGACCGTCTGGACTTTGTGTTGTTGAAGCTATAGAAATTTTATATAGTAAAGAATCATATTTACCAAGATTGATTTAGCAATTTCTCCCCAGGAAGACAAGAGCTGCCTCCTCTGCTCCCCTTTGCTGCTTTTACACAAGAGGTCTTAATCCACTTCAAATATCAATGACTCTCAAATTTTTCTTTGTGCTTCAGTACAGATAGAGACCCTAGCTGCCTTTCAGTACGATCTAGCAAAACCCCAGTTCTCTTTCTCTGGTTTCCGACAGGTCTGCTCGTAGGCCTCACCAAGCTCTGCCGTCCTTCTTCCTGAGTCGGTTGCCAAGTTCCTTGAATGTGTTTCCAGGACATTTCTGGTTCTGCTCATTACTTCTCAAGCCTGTGTTGACCCCCCCCCCCCAGTGTGGGGCCTCCAGGGTCTTTCTCTTTATAATCTGTTCCTTTCATAGAGGTTTTCCCAAAATGAAATTTGCACTAGTTCCCAGGGCATGCTGCGTGCTGGCAAAGCTCACTACTGTCATCAAGAGCCTTGGCGATGCCCTTCCCAGGCTCAGTTCCCGTCGTTTTCCATGTCTACCGTGGTATTTCTATGTATTGAACAATTAGAAATGCTGGGTCCAGTGCTGTGTACTTTCTGTTTTTTATCTGATGCTCAGAATTGTTTCTCAGAATCTGGAGGTGAAGGGTTAACTTCCCCAAGGTTTACTCTCCAGAAGGCAAAAGCAGGATCCGAATGTAGATAGGCTGGCACCAGAGCCCACCTTCTTAGTCACCACCTGTAGCACCGCTAAAGTTTTTCCACTCTGGTCACACTACATGCTCTCTTCGAATGCCTTTCCTCGTGCCGTTCCCTCTACCAGAAACATGAATATATTCTGTGCTCTCCCCAAAACATGCCTATCAATAAAGCGGAACTAAGTCATTATGTCTACTTATGACCAAGTTTTCTGCCTCCCCAACTTTGATACATGAGATAGTACCTAGACAGTGACTTAGCAGGGACACAAAATCTGCAGCATTTGTTACCATTGCATAAACTGCAGTTAGAAGCAAAACTACCAACTATTAAGAGACAAAGAATCTCAGATGCCCCTTTTTCAACCTGTAAGACAAACTCCTTACCTTTTCCCCAAGACTCTGTATGTCCAGGGGTATCAAATTCTGGTATAACTCGAATCCCTCGGAACCGGGCATATTCAAGCACCGTATGGACATCACTTGGTGTATAGACATGAGACAAAGAATAGCTCCCCTGTAATATTCAAGTTAAGATGTGCAAGATGGATTTGGTCCTGGAAACCGTAAACAATTCCGTTTGCACTTTGCTGGTCAGTTAGTTTTTCTGTTATCAGAGGGTAGTAAACAGTCCTGCCTAACAATGGGCGATTCCTGGTTTCAGAGTAGGAATCTACAAAAACTGTGGATTTCTGCCCATTGAATGCAAGATTCACTGATGGGACTGTCAGTGTCTTCTGCTTCAAGAATTCCACAATTATTTCAACTCTGGAAGCTAACAGCAAAACAAGCAAAATCTTTGCCTCCAGAGTGAACCTTTGGAAAACACTGCCCTTGTCAAGGTTAGAATCCAAACTCACCCGTTATTACAAAACACAGATTTTTGTCTTTCAGTCTTTTAATTAATATCACCTAAAAATTCACCCTCAGACAATAAGTAACTTAATTGTGTTTAACTATTTCCTGACTATATTCTTTGTGTCACTTAAGAATTAGCACTGGTTGTAACGATGAAGGTCCCCTGGAAGATAAGGTTGGCATCTGTCTCAACATATAGGCTATACATGCTCAGCTGTAGATATTATCTTGACCTTTAACCCCCGAATCAAAATATAGGGGACATGGTAATTGATACTTTGGAATGTAACCAACAAAACCAAGAGAGCAGAGAGAGACAGGACACCAAATTCCATTGGTTTCTCAGTACCAATAATTAATAATGAGAAAAGAGAATTAGCAGGCACATTAACATCCATAATGTACGGCCCATAAGAGAAAA